GAGATCCAAACTATGAGAACTGAAACAAGTGGCCCCCACGAACTCTAGCCAAACAAGGGCGTTTGCTGTAAAAGTCTTTTAATATTTTTGGCGTGTGTTAAACGATATGGCGATCTCTCGTTGGATCTTTGACAATTGTCACGAGGCAATGATTTCCTTATGAATTAGACACCTCCGAGGGGGCCTTAAATAAATTGGACAAGGATCTTCATATGGGTTTTTATATTTATAATTTTTGAAACGTTGCAATCGAGTCAAACCAACCAGGTTTATATACACAATTTGTGAAAAATTGCAATCATCGGGACAGAGCATTTCGTGATTTCCTTGAGATGGGGGTTCAGTATCATCACTTTGCTTATGTCAATATGAATGAGTCAAACAAAATAGGTTTATATATAATTTTTGAAACGTTGCCATCACCATGACAAAGCATTTCATTGCCCTTGAGATGGGGCTTCAATAATAGTCCTATTCAGTATTCAGCATCTCTTTGCTCCTGACAATACGAATGAGTTATGCAATTAGTGGATGCCATTACCATTGATATGTAGAGCATTTATTGTCTATGGTACGTATTTGCATGCACAATGACGCTGGGAAGGGAAGAAGAAAAAAGGTAAAAGAAGAAAGAAAAAGGAAAAGAAAACAAAAAATCAAAAAAATATACTTATAATTTTTTTTTTACTAAAATACCCCTTCTCCAGCAACGGAATAGTCATTGGCCGGCCAAAGGTCCTTATTCGAGATGATTTGGCCACTTCAGGCCTTTATTTGAGACAATGTCCATTTCAGATCTTTATTTGAGAAAATGACTCCACTTCGGATCCCTTTTCGGAATTTTCCCTTCATTAAAGGTTGGAATTTTCTCAAGCGTAGAAGCTCTTCCCAGTTGAGATGCAACTTGCACCATTCAATAAACAAATCAGCCGAGTCGTTATGGACTTTGATCAACGGCCCGACGGTCATCCTGGCCGGGCCGGGCCTTAAGATCGGACCCAAGTTTTTGCTCAAACTTGTCCATCATAATATTTTTATTTTTATTTTTATTTTTATAGATTTGGAATTGGATCGAACTTTCTCACGAAATACCCTCAATCCAGATATGCTCAAAATGGCTTCTAGCCCTTTTGACTCATGCCGAGCCTGACCAGACCTGCAATCTGCTAGATTTATGTCTAGGTCTATTATCCCTCGCTAAGTTTTTGGAACTCTCGATCTATCTCATTTAACCTTTCAATAATTTCAATGTTATCCTCGACTTTTCAAAGTTGGCACAATGCACCTCAAGGAGTGGGCTGCGTCAATTGCTATCGTAAACTTTGGCCAGGTGCTGTCCCATGTTAGGCCAAATTTATATGTTGTGGGAAAATTAATCTATTAATTACGAGAGATTTTCGACCAAAAAAAATAATTGTGAGATATTACATTTCCCCCCAATATATTTAAAATTTACCGCAATCTACTCTTCGAAATTGGTTGCAATATCCGACCCACCTCAGAACATCTTAAATTGGCCCGATCTGGAGCTTCATGCCCAAAGGAATTGTCCGGACCAACCTGAATAATCCTTGGGCCGTTCGGTGGGGCTTGCAATTAGTTGTGCCTATTCAATGTACCAAATGAAAAACACTATCGAGATCAGTCATGTCGTTTCGCCATTTGATACGAGCACTCGATGGCGAAGACATAAGTAAAGAGGAGAAGTGAGGTTCTCAAAAATGACTTGTACTAATTGTCCTTATTTGGACTTTACTATGCGTTATATTGTATTTGTGTGTTTATGTGCAATATAAACTCTATACCCTTTATTTCATTCAATCATTTGGAGGGCATTGTGCCTTTTCTTACGGTTGCCTATATATTATGATTTATATTGAACATCTTACATGCTTTAAATTATCTGATCAAATTGTAAAGGCCTATGATTTTTTTTTTAATAAAGAGTAATAACTGGAATTATGAAATCAAGGATCACGAAAATCTATCCATATGTTTTACACTGGTTTAAAGAGACCGGGCGGCTTTTGACTTGTTTTTTTTTTTTCAGTTTTTGAGTTATCATATGTCACAAAATGGGTGTCTACGGCTTAGCCGTATCGCTTGTTCGATTGCACACAACTGGTCTCGGTCCTCCATGAAAACCAGCATCAAGATCATTCATCCTAGGTAACCAATAGTTTTTCTTTCGTTCCATATCACAGCAAGGGTCTGGTAATTGTTGCAGATCATGCTTTTTTTCTTCTGATCCTCGTAGGTTTGGGTTAGTGTTTTCTTAATTTCTCTGTCCTGACAATGCCAGGATCGTGCAGGTTATATAGAGGATCTCACGGTTTAGAATGTTGTCGGAACCTGGATTTGGGTAGATCTAGGTCAAGGCCGCAACTCTTTAGCTGGTGACTACTACAGAATGGAATGATCTAATTTAGCTTTCGGCTCTTTGTTCTCTGTGGACCGAGCCATATCTCGAGACTCGACCTGCCTGCTGTTACTCTGCTAAATTCTTTTGCCTGTCTTCTTAGATTGAGGTCATAATAAGCTCTTGGAAATGAATAATTAACCCTGGATCTTGTAAAAGTAAAACCAAGAATAGTTTAGCTGATGAGTGAGCAACTCGACATAGAAATGCTACCCAAATTAATTTGCCTGCGATTGGATAAAAGTCTATCTGTCTCGATGATATAGGAGCAACGTGATTGCAAAAAGTATCTATAGATGATGTGTTCATGACAGGGCTCTAGTACTACATGAAGCATATCCGTGGTTCTCAGCAAGAGTTGCAGACTTTACAAATGTTGAACGAGCTTCTCCGCTGCATTGAGTGTTAAGAGCTCTGATTGTTCTAGTCCTGATTTTAATTTTTTTCTGAACTCGATTATAAGAACAATTTTTTGGTATCTCTGTATTGGTATTCAATTCCTTTGCAAATCCTCCTATCGGACCTTGTTTCGGACAATTCATCAAGTTTCATCTCGTAGGCTCATATAGGAGTCTCCTTAGGCATTTCTTCGACAATGTTCAACTTAACAGTCATTGCGTGTCGTGTAGAAAGTTATAATGAGGATGATTTTGACATGCCCGTCTATGGCGCAAGTTATGGATAGTACAAAAGAGCGAATTTTTATAGCATCATGCATTATTTGTTCAGGTTGCCTATGTGTCATAAGAGTAGTTTAGCTGTACATTTCGCCTTCAGATTCATGTTTCACGCATCTGCAGTTCTTACCAACTCTAGTGCCACTCGGAAGTGTTAATTTTTTTTCACTTGTTGATATGTATATTGTTGCTATTCAGGTTGCATGCTCAAGCATTGACGCTGGCTGATTTAGCTGGTGCTGCCACGGTCAAGTACTACGAGCACAAATCAGGAGCAAAGAACGACGGTCACACAAAATATCTTCCCATTAAATCCTTTCGCTCATAAGGAAAAAAATGAGCCGCATGCATCCACCCTTTTGCCTGCCGCCTGAGACATAATCAGCAATGAAAACCCTGTTAACAGAATACTTTGACCTTAATACAAAGTTTTGGTTCTGTGATGGAAACTTGTGTTGTAGACATGGAGACAAGCTTGACAGGAACTATTCGGAATGTCATTCTTTTTGGACAGATACTGATGAAAGTAGTTGTTCTCTTTAATGATCTTGATTGGTATTGCCGCAATATGCATCTCAAATTGTTCCTCAGATCACGGATGAAACCATATGCGGACCATACACTTCATCAGGAATCGATCCTCTCGATTTAAGTTCTAGATTTGGATTCACTTAAGATTGCAATGAGTCTGTGGATAAAGAGAAGGCTTTGATGTCATTGCATATACTCACGAGCTCACGTCTCATGTATGTAGTTCTGTCTGGTTCTTGGTTTCCATCAAGATGATCACCCTCCTCAATCTAACTTTCTGCATCCGCCGTTAGGTGCATCATAGGATTAAATATCCAATCTTGCACCAGAAAAGCACTTGGGCAGATGGCTTAAGCACCTTATGGACGTCTAGAAAATTGCTCAAAAAGTCATAAACATTTTTCATGATTTGCCAATTGAGTCCATCTAGAAAATGTGAATCGAAAATCGCTGACGTGAATACTGGCTGTCCAACATAGCGCGATCAGCGTTGACGTGGACAATTTTTTATAATATTACGAATTATTTACTTGTGCGAAAGCTTACACAAAAGCTTTTCGTGGCTTGCTTAAGTGGTGTCATTCAATCGATCGATGGTCATTGTCTTTTGGGTTTTTCTTAGACTATTCGATTGGATGAGTATTAAAAATGGATATGATATATCGGTTTTATTTATTTCGCAGAAATTGAATGGTTTGAAAAAATTTTGCAAAAAAATGATCATTTTTGTCGCTTGAAATAATTAACCAGTGAATAATATTTTCATTATTAACAATAACTTGTGTCTAAATAATTTTGTGGACGAGACGAGAAAAATATTTGTCATTCATTCATTTTTTAAAATTATTCAAGCAATTATTATTTTAAAAGAATATTTTTTAAATTATTCGTTTTTCGCGAAGCAAACTCACCGGTACTCAATAAAATATAATTAAGCCAACGTTCCCCTCTTTTTATCTTGGCGGCTCCCTCCTCTTAAAAATATTCGCCGGAAAAAAAATGGAAAGGAAATTATCCCCAAATCCGCAATTAGAACAACCTTGAAAAGAACCCTAAACCTTGGCCTCTCCTCGCTTGCTCTTCTCTTCTGTTCTCTCTCTCTCCCGCCCCTTCGTTCCATTTCGAGCTTCGGCAAACTTTTTGGGAAGGTCACGGTTCTCTCTCTCTCTCTCTCTCAGAGACAACCTTAAATTGGACCTGAAATCAGCTGATTCGTAATCTTCAGAGGCTAAATGTCTGCATTTTCACGTCTTAACATGTGAATCTGCAGCACAGCTGAGAGCCTATATGATCTGCCGCTTTACCATTAAAAAGCTGAACTTTTTCAACTTGGAGGCCTGCACGAGTTTGGACCCTGTTTGCTGATTATTAGCTTTCATGCAATTGATGTTGTCATGTGGTCGTTACGTGTTCTGTTTTTTTTTTCGGGATTTCTACCTCTTTCTGCTGCCATTGTTTGTCAAGTTCGTGCTCGTGTTTCTGGTTCATACCTTGTGTTAGTCGTTGAACTTTGTATATTCTCTATCGTTGATGAAAATGCGCAAACTTGGGGTGATGGGTGTCCGCACAAACTTCTTAATTTAGGATCTGTTGCCGCAGTTTCGCTAAACTGTGACTGGGTCCGTGATATTGGTTCTTCATGTTTTTGATGATGGCTGTATGTGTTTGTGTATCATCACATGACAGTTCATTTTATGTTGTCTACTTGCTCAGTGGTGTGTACTGTTGTTTGTTGCCTGCACGGATCAAATGAGAAAATATTAAGGCTTGGTACTCTGCTTGGGGTACAGAATATAGTGAGCGAAGATGAGTCGAGCAAGTGCAGCAGGACCCAAGGGAAAGAAGAAAGGGGTGACCTTTATGATCGACTGTGCGAAACCCGTGGAGGACAAGATCATGGACATTGCGTCGTTTGAAAAGTTTTTGCAGGAGAGGATCAAGGTTGACGGAAAGGCCGGTGCCCTTGGTGACGTTGTTACTGTCACACGGGACAAAACCAAGATTACCGTCACTTCCGAAAGTAGTTTCTCTAAACGGTAATTATAATTTGATTGAAGTGCTGATGTTGAGTAACTTGAGATGATTCGATTGCTATGCTGAATTTTTTTAGTTTTGTTAGACTATTCTAGCCTCTGGAGATTGATTAATAGGCACATTTAGTTGTGGATATTGATATTACTCTATCTGATGTCTCCTGTCTTTCCACATTAAGCCTTCGACCCCTGTTTCGTATCTCATTTGATGTCACGTTTCTCTTTGTTATGCTTTCATCAGTTATCTGAAGTATTTGACAAAGAAGTACTTGAAGAAACACAATGTTCGAGATTGGCTGCGGGTGATTGCATCAAACAAGGACCGAAATGTCTATGACGTCAGATACTTCAATATTGCTGAGAATGAAGGGGACGAAGAAGAGTGAACTTTTAGGCTGTTTAGCTTATCAAAGGAGTGCTTGTTGATTTTCTTGTGCCTTCTAAGTTGATAGTATTGGGATGTTGCATTCTGCTCTTTTATTTGCTTGAGGGGAGAAATTTTGTGATGTAGATGTTATTAGAAAGGGTCGATAATGGAAGCTGCGGAAATCTTGTGCCGGCTGTAATTATATGTTTGCTCTTTTTCTCTTAAGTTGCCGAGTCCCTCATGCTTTGGGGACATTTTGGTCAGTTCTTTTAAGCCTGCATCTCAGTGGAGGGACGATTGTTAGTTGTCAAAAATTAGTTGTCATGTCATAATTATCTAGATTACCTGATGCTTGAATTCAACTCTTTCACGCAGTTTTTTCACATGTTATAAATCTCCCTTATCCCTTGGAGTATGGACTGGCATGTTTGATTTCCTCAGCTGTGTTATGGCGTCTTCATCGCCTGTGGTACAAGTCTTGAATAGCTATATTCTATACCAAAAGTCTACAAGGAGGTATTTCTTGAAGTTCATAACACCAAAAATAGTCGCGGGTGCTTTTTTATTTGCTATGTTTCCGTCCATCTCTAGTTGGAGGAAATTTCCAACACGGATCGGTGGGTTACAAGTTACGGACATCCATAAATTGTAATCCAGTAATCAGAGGCACGGACGCAATAGCTCTTTTATCTAGATACTTGGGAGACATCTTTTGCCTTTGCTTAGTATGAAAGGACTCTCCAGGTTGCACTGGTGCGGGGTTGACAATCTGATAGTGTGAAGAGTCTGAAGACTAGGAATTGCATATGGAACTGGTCAAGTGTTACGCCAAAATGATCTTTGTCATGTCTTCCATTTTCACCTACTCTCTTTGCATTTTCCTATCGCTGTTCTCTTCTTTTGGCCGATAGCATTGGTCATTTCTGCCCGATGTCTTTCCCTGGTCTATTCTTTGATGAGGGTCATTTTCCAAATCTTTGGAATGTCTCAAACATTGTGCTTAAACTTAGCCAGAGATTATTTCATTCCCCGTGGCAATAATCAGTGAAGCCATTGCTAATCTTCTCATACAATCCTTATGCTTCAGAGATGACTTGGTTGTATCTCGCTCTGTGATAGAATGCTCATTACTAATTGAATTGAAATGATCTCTAGATTGATCGGAAGATCCTTTCAATTGGCTAGAATCCCTTACTTGAACGAAACTAGGTCTTGTAGAATGATATTGAATGTTTGACGATACATTCCATACCTTGCTAAGAAACCGACCAACCACACATTGTCTAACCGAATCTAATTCTCTCTCGATATGATCCTCAAAAAATTCAATTCGGGCTGATTCTTCCCTCAACTAGCGAAGAGATCTTGGCGGAATTGCCAAATATGAATTGAACACAATTGTGCAAGGAAATAGCCCATCATTTTTCGAGAAGAGATGGGAAATATGCTCAATGTCATTTGATTGAATAGTTGACCCAATTCCTTGTTGTTTAAAGAAACTCTCCACTTCAATTGGTATTTTTTCACAAGAAGCAAACATGAGATAACTAATCGAGTCTTTAACTAAGATTTCGAATAGTTGTCACGAATTCAAGTTAATTATGTTTTGTCTCTTACTCAGAGAAAGACAATTCCAATCAAGAGGAGATCATCCATATAATATACAAAAAGACACTCAAGACATTTGAATTGATATCTTTCCTTGAACGAGATCTCAATTCCAGCAACGGTTTTGTCTAAGTCACTTTGTTTCGTTTTGTCCAAGTTACTTCTCTTTCTATCCAAGTTTCTTCTTCTACTTTTTTTTGTCTAACTCACCTTCTTTTTTCTTTGTGAGTTTCGGGAACACTGCCATTCCTAGGTCTGAGATCTACGTCTATGAATTGAAAGGTCCAAATGATCGATTCTGCTACAATCAGTTGTTACAATCGATAGGTCTTCAAATCGTTCATTTGAAAAAATGAAAACCGTTATTATTGAATGATCATGATACTTCACCATTTTTGTTCAATAAGATACCAAAATGGATGATTGACTCATTCCATACTAGAAATACTCGCAGGAAATCTTTTGCCTCGACCCATAATTTCTTCTTTTTTTGCTAAGGACTTGGTGTTTATTTGTTTCCTTCTATTTTCTGTAATCTATGACATGTGGCATCGATCTTGGTACTTCTTAGTGTATTCCACTTAGCCTTTTTAAAATGGTCATTGCATTCTGCTGTCGCTAGAAAAGGAAATTTATGCAAGCGAATTCTAAAGGAGGATCGTTTCTTTAGCCTTTATTAGGTCCGTCGGTTACATTAGGATGGATTTGATTAGGCCCGTTGTTTATATAAACGAAAGATTTGATCAAGTCACAAAACTATGCGACCCAAATAATCTTGGGTTCTCTTCCTCATTCACTCACTATTTTGATGAACCATGCATAAATCCAGTCGCATTGTCATCAATCGCATTTTCTCTTTTCAACTTTGAGCCTCAACCCACCACCTTTCTCCATTAACCCTTTCAGAATGGCCAGCGCAAGAGCTTTTCTCTCTGCACTTTTGAGCGTGATCTGTTCTGTCTTCATTCTTCGACACCCGTGCAAGGCGCAATCGCTCGCAAGCTGCAAATTTGATGCGATCTATCAGCTCGGCGACTCGATATCGGACACGGGCAATTTGATTCATGAGGGCCCAATCGGAGAGGCCTCGCCTTGCGGTCATCCTCCCTATGGCCAGGACTTCCCGGGGGGACAAGCCACCGGGAGGTGCTCCGATGGCTTGCTCATGATTGATTACCTCTGTAAGTAAAGCCTGGCATCGAAATTCTCCGTGTCTATCTTGCTCCAATAGTTCCAATCATACATAAAATTATGTGAAGATGGCAATATGATAGTAACATGATCATCCAATGCTTGTCCTACAATATTATTGTCAAAACTGAATGTCCACACTTAGAGAGTACCATATGATACTTGCTTACATATCTTAGCAGTTTCGATGATTAACAATGTTTCGAACTCAACAGCCAATCTTTACGGTCGGTTTCGCTGAACAACTAGTCTAGTTCAGTTGGCAAACCTATGCCGCCGGTCGAAGGCCAAGTTTCGTGTTGCCGGATAAGTTGGCTCCAGAAATAAATTGAGTAAAAGACTATATATATATATAGACTATATATAGGTTCCTAATTTTGAGGCTGTAAGCATGTGACGGCATGAGCGGCACGTTCTTCCTGATCACAGTGTTCATTTCGGAGATTTTATCTTCCATGCATGTCGACTCGTGGCATCGTCTTTCTCACAAAATTCAACCTCGATGCCAACCTTTTCGGACTCGATAGTTTACATAAAATAACGTATGAATACGAGTCCTTACCTCAAACTATGCCAGTGTCGAAATGTACGCGCGAAAATTGTTGCAAACTGCAGCTGTTCAGTAGATTTAGATGAATTGAGTTACAGGTTCAGGCTCAACCGGAGCTTCAATTCAGCTCCTAGCCCAGAACATGATCAGCTGTTCTAATCTCAGACATTACCAACTTACACTGTGGCAAATGATTGGTCTTCTTTCACTTTTCTTATAAAATCTTTACTTTTGCAAGTGGGAGTCAATCCAGTGATGATGGGTTTCTAGGTTTGTTGCTTCGGATGCTTTTTGTGGTTCTTTTTGGGACGGTAATGATCCCGAGGAAAAAGCATATCAAGGGTTGAAAACTCAATGTCACTGTCGATAGTGGCCTAAGCTTTTATCTTTCCCTTTCCATTTTCATTGGTTATGAGGCATGATATAGAAAGATTATTGATAATAACATAGTGATAATGCTTGTTTTTGAAAACATTGATTAATTTTCTATTGGCGGTACGTGAATACGCTAGGGTTGAATTTATTTTTCCATTCGGGTTTTGCAGCTCAGGCGGCCAGAGTTCCGTTTCCAGATTTCTACCTGAATTGGAGCGCGGCGTTCACTCGCGGCCACGGAGTGAATTTTGCCGTCGCCGGAGCCACCGCGATGCCCTCGTATGTTCTTGCTGAGATGAACATCTCCAACCCCGCCACCAATTCATCTCTCGGCACTCAACTCGATTGGATGTTCTCTTATTTCAACGGCATCTGCTTAGACAAAGCCGGTAATATTGATTGACCTAATCGCTCGAACATGCGATTCGACTTTCTATTATTTGGTGAGAAATTGTGAATTGGCACGCGTTTCAAATGACAAAGTCACAATTCATGTGTTGGTCCACAGATTGTGTGTCGAAGCTCAAACATGCCTTGTTTATGGTCGGGGAGATCGGAGGCAGTGACTACTACTATGCATTGTTTCAAGGCAAGAGCATTGAGGAGGTGAAGAGCCTTGTGCCTCAAGTTGTCATGGCCATCAAAGATGCAGTTCAAGTAAGTGATTCAAGAACTTCACACCTTCAAATTTTGTCTTGTAGATGGTATTTTATCGCTGTAATTCCAGGTGTAACGTTGATGTGGTTTTTACTGCAATGCAGAGGGTCATCGGGTACGGTGCTTCTCGAGTGGTCGTGCCCGGCAACTTTCCGATCGGCTGCTTCCCGATCTATCTCGATCGTTTCGAAGCTGACGGTCCATCCGCTTATGACGAATCTCGCTGTCTCAAGGACTTGAATGGCCTCACGGCGTATCACAATGAACTCCTCCAGAAGGCCATCGGAGAGCTCGGGAAAGAGAACCGGCATGTCGTCATCCTCTACGGCGACTACTACAACGCGTTCGCATCCATGTACCGCGGTGGTCCATCCTTTGGTACAGTCCGAACCAAACCATCCTCCTAGTCAGTACGCCACGGTCGTCCGTGGCTATATAACATATCCACATCGCTAGCAATCACTCTCTTTTCCTCCTTGCGTAGGCTTCGACATGTCATGGGCACAAAAGGCATGTTGCGGAAGCGGCGGGGGCGACCACAACTTCGATCCGAACCGGCGGTGCGGAGCTCCCGGCGTAGCCGTCTGTCCCGACCCCGCGAAGGCCATAAGCTGGGACGGGATCCATATGACGCAGAGAGCATACTCCGTCATGACAGATTGGCTCGTTCATGACCTACTGCCCAAGCTTAAATGCAACGCTTCGCTAATTGGCAACTGAGCATGCGACATACGTTAATCAAGCATGGATTATCCATTGTAATTACCAATTAGTCTATCAATGGTGCTGGAACCAGGGGCAAACAATTACTGCTATATAGTTGAAATTTCACTCTCTTTTTTTGTACTTTATATATATATATATATATATATATATATATATATTAATGAATGGTGTACTTAATTAATAGGTGAATTTAATTTGTTTCTCCAAAAGCAGAACATGTAGGAGAGGCGGGAGGAGTGGTACGCCACGTCGTTTTTGCCATGGGCTGGCTTGAGGCTGACTGGCCTGTGGTTGGTAGCACAATAATTTGCCCAACGCAGGCCCACAACGACCCTGATGGGTCGACGTCATCATAATGGGAAATATCAATGATTATTAATTACGTCGAATTTATTATCGCGATCTTTGATAATCAGAAATATTTTTTGCGTGTCCTCTCTTCACACACGGATCGAGCATCATAAGTTTTATCATGCGGCTCACGTAAATCGAGGATGTAGACATGAATTTAATTGTTCGAGCACCGAGGATTCAAACTTGTCCCAAATGATCTAGAAATTATAGCATGTGTAATCATGTACGGCCTTTGTGCAAAGTAATTATTAATACATCTCATAATTTTCTCTTTTTTTTCTCCTAGAAATAGAACTATACTTGAATATACAAGCATCCTTGAACTATCTACCTGAGGCCTTATGTTATTCTCGTAATACCCTTGTCTTTGGTTTACGAAAGGGTAAGGAAGAGTTCGAGCAGAGCCCGGTGAACTTTCCTCAGGAAATCTGATACTCTCTCTTCATGTTCTCGTAAACTCCTTCGTTCTCTGGGTCTAGTGTTATTCGAAAGATAGGATTTAATCTTAAATAAAAACGACATGATGGTTTTTAATGAACTAGGTATGCTCTTCACCTGCCGCTTCTAAATAAATCACGCGAATCCGAAAGCTAAACTTATATCAAGAGTCTTAGTCTAAGACCTTTAATTCTTGAGCTGTCCATTTCGATGTAATTCGAAAATTAAAAGGCAATCCCATTTAACATCCGAGGAAAAACCTATGTATTGGAATAACATGTATATCTTGAATCTTCACCTTCTTCGGCTCCTTAGCCCCCCGCACAGCGAAATTGCTCTAAGGCAACAAAAATTCAGAGACAAGAAATCAATGGGGGGTCGACGTATGGGCCAATTAGCAGAACTTCAATTTCCAAAACCACACAAGTCTTGTCAGTAGCTACGCGCGGGGTTTTGCAGCAGGGGGAGCGTCCCCCACTTTCTTCGGCAATCACAGATGATCAAGAAACTGCGATCCCTGCAAAAAAAACTGCAAGTCGTACTGCCACTGAATCTCTTCTTTTGCCTCCCTACACACATCACCCTCCCTCTCCTGACCTGTACTCCCCTCCATTTTTCGCCTTACCCTTTTCCTCTGGCTTTCTTCTCTCTCCATCGTTCTTCGACGATGACAGCAAGAATTGAATATTCATGTTCTGTACTGGGGTTGTATAACGTTAAAAAAATCAAGGGTCATCATCATGCATCGGATGGTTAAAGTGGAAAAAGTTACTTTGCTCGGTTCCTTTCATCCCGCATCTAATGTTTAGCATTCTACGTCAGGGGGACAGGAAATAATGTTCACCGAGTGTCAGGCTACATGTCTATCTAGTACTGCATTAGGATGTCATTATGTAAAAAGATGGGCGTTTCTCTAAGTTTCGTCTCCTGCGAAGGCAAAGAGTACAGTGTCAGGCTGCATGCCAATTAATGTCGTGAATGAAATGGCCGCAAACGCATTCATTATTGGCTTGTTATTGACTCGTTTCTCTTCCAGCTCAGCTCATTTAGCCATGATCCATAAGTCCATTGATCAATGAGTGTAGCGTAGTGCATTACATAACGTAGTTAATGAGCTCAAGCAATAAATGAATTTCGAATTAGAACAGAGTTCTCTGCGTACATATCGACATAGAAAATGTCTTGCGACCGCACCGAGCATAAAAATACAATCTTTTCGTTACAGTAACTTCGGCTTTGGCCCGAAAAAGCTCGATACTTTGTCGCTTCAGTCGCTTCACAGCTCAGTCGGAAGATGGTCCACCGCCGTGCATCGATCGACAACCGCTCTCTCGATCAAGCCGAAAGCTCTCCTGTCCCTGCACCACCGCGACGTTAAAAGTAATTTGCCTCGGGGTGGTTTGTGTGGATTGTAAACATAAGAACATTGCTCATAGATGCATGAAAATAGCATTTGTAAGACCATACTGATCTACATAGAGCAGGCTACATCGTCCTGCTCAGGTCCTAGAAGGTTAATGATATCCCTCGTGCACTCAGCAGAATAAATGGACATATAGTCCAGATTATATATCCATAAAAAGACACCAGATACAGGTGAAGTACTGAACCAGAGTGGAAAATGCGACTTCAAGTAGGGCAAAGAACGAAAAAGCAAGTTCCAAAAGAGAAGGCAAAACATGTACGACTGAACCGATCAATGTGTGTGCAGTGTGCACTGCACTGCAACACCGAACGCAAGAAGATGGCGGGGGGGGGGGGGAGCGAGGGAACACATGTTGGAGAAGGGGAGCACGTGCAGCGAGACCCCAGGAGGGACTCGGCGAGCGGGCTGCACGTGCCCTGCTTCTCCAGCAGGAGCTCCTCCACTGGTGTGGCTCGAACGTTGTCTGAACCGATCTCGAGCTTCCTGCGTTTTGCGTAGTAAGTAGGAGCATGAAAAGCGAAGTGAAGTAAAGCGAAGGAACCTGCCCATGCATTTATAGACCCCAGTCCCCACTCACGAGAGACAGAGAGAGAGGGAGAGGGGGAGGGAGATTGAGTCTAGAAGTGGGCATTCTTTAAAGCGAATTCAACTCGAGTCAAGCCCACTTTTTCGCTTTTGTTTTTTTTTAACCCCTCTCCCCCCTCGTGATGATAATTGACTGCAAAAGGCCCAAGCACGGTTAATCTGAGAAACTCCAGTTGCATCGCTTTTCATGGTACGTTCTCGTTTTTGCTACATTTTTCACCATAATAAACCAACTAATGAGATGCGTGTTGCGGTGTCCATGCAACCCGTGCTGAATTGTGCACAAAATTTTCCAGATGGGTCCACTCGTGATGGGTGATTTATGGAGGTAATTATAAAAAAAATCGTTATTGTACGGAAGTCAATTCAGTAATAATATTTTTGATTTGGTCAATTTAATTATAAACATTTTGACGATCTAACAATGTAATTATTTTGGCTATTAACCGAAAATCACTGACGTGAATACTGGCCGTACTAAGCAGCACAACGGCAGTTGACGCAAACAATTTTTAAATTTTTTTCATTTTGTCACTTTACTTTTACTTTTTTTTTTAAAAAACAAAATCTTAAAAAATGCAAAAATTGGACGCACGTCAGCGATTTTCGGCTAAAATTGATCGAAATGATTATATTGATAAATTATCAAAAGATTTAAGACTAAAATGATCATATTAATGCAAAAAAAAAATTGATCATATTAAAAAATGTATAACTGAATTGACATCCGTATAATAATTATAAGACTTTTTTTTGGTAATTTTTTGATAGATATGAATCATTAGAGCTCTTGGTGGTTATCTCATTGAGGAGCTTACTACTTATGACAAATCGAAGGATGTTATCAAGGAGTCGGAAAGTTAACAAAAAGTTACTTTAATAATGTTTCCCACGATCTCATGTTTCGTGTGTTAAGTTTTACTCGCTCAAGATACTAATAAGAAAATCTCGTATATTCTCTTATGAAAAAAAAAAATCATTTGTCCAACGAAATACATTTACAATTATTTATTTTTTTGCTAGGAACAAAATACAGGTAGATTGGATTTTGAGATGATGTCGCAACCAGCTAGTAGGTATGACCTGGATGGTCAGGCTTTTTCTTTTTTTTGACGTCGACCGGTGAATCTTTACATGCATTTTACCGGATATTAACGATGTTATTACGTATGCAGCTCCCTGGTCAAATGTCGGATTCTCCCTGCCGCCGAAAACAGGGGGGGGGAATGCTTAACCCAACGCAAGTTACCCCCATTTCTCATCAAGTAAAAACACTCCTCTCTTTTTTTAGCTAAATCAAGTAAAAAAAATAAAATCAAAGCGTCAGTGAAATATGTATTTGTGTATACAACCGCTTTGAAAACTTAATTTCACGGCGAAAAGGGTCACGTATCTTTTACGAGATCACGTGTTCAATTCACTTTCGACATATCTTGTGTTCCTAACTGTCAATATCTTAGTGCTTTGTAACGGCGGGCGCGCCAACTTCGGATTTTCGACGAGTGATGCGCGATAGTAATTACACCAACTGAACTTTGTGTGGTAAAAGTGAAACTCTTGCGAGAGCATTTAGGGAGAGAGCTGCTAACATCGATCGCCCTTCCCGCGTTTTTTACGTATCATTAAAGAGCCAAACTCTTTCTCCTTTGATTGAAGTAGCTGAAACTTTTCACATTGTTCACGATTTATATTTGTATGGAATTTCTCTACCGTATACCATCTTCAATTGGGACCATACCATAAGGGTTTAAAATCATGCAATGGTGAGCTTTAAATACCGATTAAATCAAGCAACTTAATCTGCGAAACTTAATCCAGAGTAATTAGAGTTTTGCGATTGTTTAGAAGGACACACCACTCGACTCTGCTGAATAATATAATACAGAAAGGAGATTTGTTGGCGCATACATATATGAACCATCTAAAGATTTAGGATATACACAAGGCTTAAAATTATAGAAAGCTAAAAAATAAAAATAAAAATAAAAAAATCACTTCAACTTCAGATAGCTCTCATGTTAGTCGAAAGTCTTACTTTTTAGGAACCATATATTTAAGGAAATACTCAAATTGCAAGTCACCAAAATACATCCATCCATGGCAGTAAATAAAGAGTGTGAATGACTGAAACAGAAGATCTGTTGTCGCTGTTGTTTTGCTGATTAGCAGTTGCTCGACGAAGGACACAAGCCGAGTGAAAAACCTTTTTACCCCCATTGCTCGCAGAAGTTGTCAAAAGATCGGAGGTAGGGCGGGGGTGGAGAGAGAGAGAGAAGGGATGAGGTTTGACCCAAAAGAGGGCACTGATGGCGACGGTGGAAGGGAAGTGATAGTGAATGATGGTGGTCACCACCGGTCAGCCGAAACGTATCCATTTTGGCCTCCTCAGTCACAGAGAGATCAGGAGAGAGAGATAGAGAGAGAGAGAGCATAAGTTAGCGTGAAAGTAGGGCGAAAATTTAACGCACAGATCGCGCTCAGAGAGAGAGAGAGAGAGAGTGAAGAGACACCATCATATCAGCAGAAGAAGAAGCGAACACAAGTAAAGAGAACGGTGTGGGGGAGAGAGAGAGAGAGAGAGAGAGAGAGGGGAAGGGGGTTGCGTGTGGTGGGAAGCAAAGCAAAGCCAAAAAACTGAGAGACGGATTCAAATTGGAAGGAAAAGGAGTTCTTGTGTTGGTTCTGGGGCGAGCAGTGTGAGTCCCAATGTGGATTTGATTCCCCCCCACCCCACCACTCCCTTCCCTGGCGTTATTATTTCAAAAAATTATTGGGCAACATGCCACCAACAACCTTAAATCATACCCACATTTACCCTCCATCACATTTATTCTTCGTGACCCAAAAAATCATTACATTTACCCCTCGTTAAAGATCCGTCAAACAAGAATCGCTAAAAATTTATATACATGAATGCTGGAACGGCATGATAAAAACGACTTTATTTTTGCTGGAAAATCATTTAACGGCTCTTGACGGAAGGTAAACGTGTCACATATGCACAAGTTTGAAGTTTGTTATGTCACGAGAAATAATTTAGGGTAAATGTGTCACGGTGAATATAGTTTTAGGGTTTTTATGTCAAAAAAAAAGTCGGGAAAAATGTGTTCGGCATAGTTCGGGGTATTTTGTAGCTTTCTCCCAAAATTATTTATTCGTAAAAAAAATTCAAACAATAAAAAATATAGATGCACTCTTTTTCTTCTTTTTTCTTCGTCCCGTATTTCTAGGTGGGTATTTCTGTTTCCTTCTTTTTTACCCATCCCTTTCCCCTGCATCTCTGCATCTGCTCCCAAGGTGATTCTGTTCTCTGGAAACGGTCCCGATGAAGATTAAGGTTGTTAAAATTATTAAAATCCATGATGTTGAGAAGAAGAAGGAACTTCTAAGAAGAAGAAAGATGAATGAGTAAGAATCTTTTTTGTTGTTTATGATTTCTATCGTGTATTTCCATTGATACAACCTCCTGCGTTTATAGGATTTTACAAGGTGAACAATATCTACAATTAAGGAATCACGAATGGAAACTAAATAACTGATTTGATTATCGATGCAGACGAAGAAGATCATGTTTCTGATTTGGTGGACCTTGATTGTTGCTAATTTGATTCTGTTAACAATCTGGTTTCTGATTTGGTGGAGCTTGATTGTTGCTGATTTGATTCTGTTAACAAAGGTTTAGGAAATACTTTAAAATGATGTAAGAAGAACTAAGAGCAAAGGCAATGATAGGTGCAAATTACAATTCTTAATAGCATGTCGGGACCGTGTTCGTGATTTTCTTGTTCATTCATGTCGATAGCGAAACGTCACGACTTTTATTCGACGGGGTAATCGACATATTCCATACAGCTCGTTGTGAACGAGTATTTGATCGATTGGTCTCGAATAGTTTGAGTTATTGCGTCAACAGCACTTTTTCCCAAATATCCCTAACAAAAGTGGCAGATGAGGCTGGAGGATTGCACGGGGCATGTACTTCCAATGCATGTTCGCAAACGGATTTGGATTCTGACAAGCCTACTCATCCGATCTTTGATCTCAATCGATCGGACACCATTCCACGCAATCAACATAAAATTGACATTTGAGGTGGGTTTTCGACTAACATGGCATGTGTAACCTTATAATAAAAGGGTACAGGCCATCCATCGTCATCATCTTCGACGAGTCACGCAGGTTGCATGGAGCGTTCCGTAGGCATGGCCGGTCGAAGAGGAAGCCAAAGTCACAAGTCATGAGAAATGTCTCGATCCTTCTTGTGTAGAGGGCTTTGTTGTGTACTTAAAACATTTTTAGGGGCTGAATGGATTATTATGCACTTATTTCCCTTGGCAGCGTCGGTCCATCTCTTTACCATAGTGGTGAAAAACTAGTAAATGTATCGGATGGCTATGAAGTTCTTCTATTGTAAACACGTTATCTGATAATGTGGGCCTCCATTGATTTGCAAAGTTGAGGCCCTTCGTCCTCAATCTACGAACACAAAAGTTCTTCTATCAATGTGACTTGCAAACAGGCTTCATTGTTACCATTTCGGCTGCCAACACTTCCGATAAAAGCTCAGGGATTTCCTTGCGGTGGCCGCCGCTAGACCCCGACCGATGGGCGCTCGAGACTGATATCGTGCCCCAAACTCTAAGCCAGACCCTTTTACCATGACTAATATATTAGTAGAACTATCTCCTTCCTTTTAACGGATCTCGTTAAAAAGACGTCGGGGAGGCCGGTTTAAAGCAATCGAATAGGGAAAATACCGCCATTTTGGCAAGTAGGCAGGCCTAGCGGCGGCCGTTTAACGAGCCCTCTCCGGGAGCACTCGCTAACAAGACCCCCGACTCCATATCGCGGGAAAACGATCGAGCCAAGTAGATGGGCCTGGACGAGCATGACTGGACCGGGCCGGGCCGGGCTTGGGCCTTGGGCCTCGACGAGCGAGGAGCGAACGATGAGGACAAAAGCTAAAGTTTAACCCCCTCACGCGACCGCGACGCCCGCCTGGCCTCCATGCCCTCTTTTGTCGCCACATGTCCTACCTCCTCACTCGCTGATGTCACATCACATCATTCCCCCTCACGGTCCCAGTGGTCCCCACCGGGTCCTGCCGATCTTATCCCCGATTCCATCCCCAACTTGCCACATCGACCAATCTCCTCCCAGATCCAGAATCGACGGCCCACGATGGATCTCGCCCCCTCCAGACTCGTTCGACCTTTAACGCCTAGCTCGTCTTTATAATACCTCTGCCCGATGAGTCTTCCGCTCATCAGGCAGAGGTAGCTGCTATCCATTGATCCCTGGGAGTTCTCCCCGATCGGTTAACGCGCGCGCGCCGACCTAGCTTAGCCTGCGCCCCATGGGGCTACTGGACCAGCTCTGGGACGACACCGTCGCCGGCCCCCGGCCTGAGAGCGGCCTCGGGAGGCTCCGGAAGTTCAGCACCTTCAGCTCCCGATCGAGCTCCGGCAAGGGTACGGGGTTGTCCTGGTGGTGAAGCCAATCTCAAAGCGGATCTCGCAAGAGTTTTGATTGAATCCATGCATGCACACGCGCGCACACACACAGTACACACCACCTAGTATTGAACAAATCGAGTAATTTTGAGAAAATAACGGCGATAATCCGTGAGACGATCGACAGTTCTTTCGGCGATTCCGGTGGATTACGCGTTTTTCGAGCCTGATTGAGTTGTTATCGGTTAAATATGACAGTAAGAGCTTAATGATTGATGATGATTTGCATGGGAAGTCCGATAGATTATCGTTGACGACTGTACTTCGCGACGGGTTTTGTGTTTTGGAGCAGAATCAGAGGGAGGAGGGAGCGTGAAGACGTACGGCGATCAGGAGGCGGCGCCGTCGGAGGAGGCGATAAAGGTGACGCGAAGCATAACGATAGTGAAGCCGCCGGGGTACCAGTCCGGCTCGCCGCCGGTCTCTCCGGCCGGGTCGACTCCGCCGGTATCCCCTTTCTCCGGTAAGAACGATGGTAACCTCATCGTTCATTCATTATTGTTTCAGACCAGTGCGCCAAAAATTCTCTCTAGAAATATCCGAAATGATAATCTAACAGCAGGTGGGGCCCTCGTGTTTCGTCTTTTGCCTGCTGACAGTATATGATTGATGGACCACCTCCCGTGATAATGCCAATTTAGGTGGAGGAAAATAGACGTTTAGTATTATAAAATTCACATTTTGGAAATGACATTCGTGTCCCTGTCCTTTGAGTGTTGACTTCCTTCCTTCCATGCATTATTCATCTTCTCTTGTATTTTCTCTGAAACGGATGGATCCGAGCATCAAGACCTTTACTTTGGGTATATTCAAATTCAGCGAGATGATAGTGCTAATTTCTTTGATCGGAGTAGCGGAAGAATCCCTAATCTTGCCTTTGGTTGGCATGAATAAGATCTAGTAATTGGTTTTTCCGATGAACCTTGCTTCATGTTTGTTCACACATGTGTGAAGCACTTCCTGTGTAGAATGATGCTCCTGAGGGTTCTTATGTTAAGATCGCGATGGCGGCTCGTCTCGGATCATCGGTATCTTGACTCGCGCGGCCTCGAGATGCATTGATCTGTTAGATCGGATTATACGGGCGATAGGGATGTGTTATTGCGTTGTTTTGATATAGATAGACCGATGAGTGACGACGAGACCGTGATGATGGTTATGAGTATGTGCCGCTTCTAATGGTGACATGAACATGTGTACACAGGAGGTGGAAGAGGGCAGTTTCTATTCCGGAGGAGATCAATGTCCGATGCCTACGAGAAGCCAAGTGAGGCTCGACCCAGGAGCACTCCTGATCCTTACGACGTGTGAGCTATGACATAGACACGGAGTTTCGACTCCCTTCGGCAGCCCAAGATAACCCCGTGTGCGTCTGTTCGACCCCTTTGTTCTTGCTATGTATAACCTATGCATGTATGTAGGTTTGCACGCATGTTTGAATATGCTGCCACGGCCACTTCAGTAGCATGCATCATCTAGATATAGGAGTCTGTGTGTATCAGTGCGTATGTGAGATGGGTCGTGAGTCGTCTCGTTGCGTAGAATCAGTCTGTAGTCTGTTCTCTGTACATTGTAGTGCTTTCACTTTAGATCCGAATCTGAGCCTTTTGCTGCTTGTAAGTTTTGTTGGAGAAAATAGAGCATGTTCGTATGTTCTTTGTTTCCTTAAACGTTCTCTGGTGATTCTCTCTCTCTCTCTCTTGTCTCTACATGTCTGCAATAAGGGAACAAAGCAGCAGCAAGTTGAAATACCCCGGACCTTACATGATGATACCATTACCGCATGTCGCTTGTGTCGTGTGAGGAGAGCCTGTTGATCACGACCCTCCGCCTTCGTGATGACAGCCCGTTCACTAGTTAACTAGTTCACTATATGTCGGGAGGGACTGTCCCTGATGACGCCGACCATTTTTGTTAATTGAAAACTTCATCGCAATGATGTTACCTTCTTGCGTGGTTGATGCAAATGAACTTTTGCGAGACATGGTCGACGGATGAAATGGGTGATTTGGAGTGAATCTTTGCATTGTGCCATGCGAGCGCATGTACTTACTGGGCAATCGTAAGGTTCAGTCATTCTTCCTTGGCCAAACACAGAGCATTTTTGGGCAGGAAAACAATGAACTTCTTGAGCACCTTCAAGCTCAAAATCATGTCTGATTATTTTATTCTTTTTTGCATTGACTATATGGCAAAGTGGAAGCTCAAGTACAAGGAACTAGAAGTAACATCTTGTTATACAAATTTATGATTCAAAAAAAATTTATGAATATTATAAAAATATCGAACACCCTCTTCACTTTTGACCTATTTTGCATTCTCTATTTCTCAAGAGGATTTTATCAATATGTGTCCTAGGGTGACTTGTTAAGCATCTAATTAAGAAAAGTTTGTCATTTTTCGTTTGCTGTCAATCTCGGATTAAATGAAATAAGTGCATTTGAAGTGAAAACATTTCCTTTATAAGTATGGTTAACACGAACGCATTTGTTAATAGGATCATTCGCAAAAATACCACTTTACATCCTCCCACAAGACCTCTCAACCGAAAACACCAAATTGCCCTTTACTCTATTAAAACAAACCCTTTTTCTAAACGGGCAAAAAAAGCCCGGGAAGACTGAATACCCAGACCGCCAAATTTTTGGATTCGAGTAAGACCGAGCTAGTACTCGGGCAAGTTTTGAAATTCTCATTAGGATCGCTTCGGGTTTTTGAGCCTAAGATGCTTGAGCATTGATTGGCTCTGCTCGGCTCGGCCCAGCCCAAAATGTTTTTGGAAAAATATAGTTATATCTAAAATTAGAAGAAAAATAAAATAAAATAATTATTCATGTAATAATTATCAACATCCATAAGTCACAAAACCTAGAAAATTAACTATAAAACTTCAAATGAGTCGGCAAAAGTATGTTATTTTAAGATTGAGATATGCAAACTTCCTTTCACAAATTAGTATTCCCTTTTGGGTCTCACTCCTCTCTTCTATGTAATGTGTGTGCGGCGCTCGTGGGGATTAAACCTCGGACCTGGTACTCTCATGCCCCACTCCCCCTCCTCCTTCCCAATTCTTTTATCAGTAAGGCCACATGCTTGTTAGCACATTAGTTATTTCAAAGATGCATGTTCGAGTTTTGTAATTTGATAATGAATAATATTTTTGAATACAAACTTTAAAAACAAAAATTTCAGGCTTTACCTACTTGGATTGAACCATGTAAATTTTGTCTAGGTCTTTACCTCTTTCTCAGCTTGGCCTAGCAAAGTTAGGTCGGTATATACGTGCTAGTTCCTATTAGAGATGAGCATGGTTCCAAGGTAGAATCTAGAACCGGAGAACTAGACTGGTGAGAACTTGTCCGGTTCTAGGTTTTAGAATATGCATAGTAGGTTCCAGCTTCCTAAAATTGGCGAACCTATTTTGACGGTTAGGTTTAAGGTTTAAGTAGGTGGAACCTAGAACCTAGAATCCGGAACATGAAACCTAGAATAAGTTTTTGTGTTTTTCTTAGTCTATATCTTTTCGTGATCCCGCGATATTCTATGGTGTCCGATGATAAGTGTATAATCCGAAATCACTAGTTTGAGCTTCCGTTTTGTGATTGAGATTTTTACTTTGTTAATGGGTAATATTCTTCGTGCATTTAAATATAAGTTGTGGTTAATGGATTGTAGATGTCACGCCCCGAACCCCGCGGGCGCACGACATCCCGCTATGGTCGTTAAAATGCGACATCCCAGGACTCGTCGCCGACCCTTTTCTTTTTATCTTTGAATTACGCAAGCGGAAACGATAACCAACACAACAATCCCCAGACAATAATTAAATCAGGGATAGCAGAGGAAAACCAGACATAACAACAGCCATTTTTTAATATTCACTTGATTAACCCCTGGGAACATACTTACAGGCCCATTCCGGGCGTTTCCACAAAAACCAGCAAAAGACAAAGGTTAGGGTTAATCTACTCCATCCAAAAGATCAGCTTCCAGGCCTAACCCTCAAGGACCAACCAAAAACTGCGGTACTCCAAACCGCATAAGAAGCAACGACAAGTTAAGGTCCTGAAAAAGGTTTAACAACAACAAATGAGATAAAATCTCAATAAGTTAACGGCCTAAGCCCCGCTTAGGAGGCCAACTCGCACGGGGTCCCTAAACAGCGAAACGGCAACAACAACATCGTTAACAACCACATGCATCCTCACCTCGCCTTGGTACACACATTGATGAAATGCATATGTCACATACTCGAAGCATTTAACGAGATTTTCCATGCATTAATGCAACACAGTCGCGCGTGTCTCGATTATAAGGCAAAACCCACTTGGGCACGTCCCATACCATGCCTAGCAGTTTCTACCCCATAATCAGGCACTATGCATCACACGTATTCCAATTATTACGCCCCCTCGGGGCCACCACACATCAAGCGATACGCAGCAAGATGGCGGTCTACCGGTAAAAACCGGGCTCCGTCCCGCCCCATCGGGCACGGCTACGTCAAACGATACACAGGATGACGGCATTCCAATACGGCAACATCAAACGATACACAGTAAGATGGTATCCCGTAAGGAGCATCGAGTCCGGCCTCGGGCCGCGACAAGGCATCCGGGGTATCGGCACTCCAGATTATCCCCAGGCATCCGATAAATCGGGCAACGTCAAGCGATACACAGCAAGACGGCTTTAACGTGTGACCACACGAGCACACAAGCATACCGGCCAATTATTATCTTTTCAATTAGCCCATGCGTCCATGAATAGTGCTCCCACAATGCCGCATAACAAACCAAGTGGTCACACATGCAAACAATCAATCAATTCTTGCACTCTTCGATATCAAACACGAATATCAATCACAAAGTATCACTAACATTACTTGGCATAACAGAATAAAATAATTTAATTCCAAAAGTCTCATAAATTTTCCACAGAAACTTTCGATCAAACAATTTGCCATAAAATCAATTTAATACGACAATACACGGCAAAATCGCCAACATTCAAGCTAGAAATCATAATTTGAAATTATAAATTTTTCGAAATAACAATAAATTAAATTCGAAATTAATTAATTACTAATATCCGAAAATAATTTAATATTCCAAAATGTCAAAATATTTCCTCGAATTGAAATCATTCAAATCATTTCCTAAAAATGCCAATTTATACGGTAAAATCCAACATTGGCATCACAATATGACGTTAGAAATTTCCGAAAATAATAGCATTTAATTTTCGGAAATTAATTATTTAATAATAAAATATTAATATTTAAATCCGAAAATAATAAAATAATATTTAATTCCGAAAATATTTTTATTTAATAAAATAATCAACAATATTAATATAATTGATAACCTATCACCACATCACGATAACTTATCACGCGAACGATAACCTATCACCAAAGGTTATCTAATAATTCAACATTAATTTAATCTAAACCTTAATTAAACTTAACATAAACTACCCTAAGCAAGTTTAACACCCTAAACACGGGATTAGGGGTTAACTTACTCGGCTAACGCCGGCGACGACGCGAGGACGACGGCGGCGACAAGGGCGGTCCGCGGTGGCTTCCGGTTCGGTTTCGGCGGCCGGCGGACGACGGCGAACGAGCGCGGCGAGGGAGACAACCGGCCAAGTGGGGTCAAGCCCGGCGTGGCTTGGCTGTTCCGTCGACCGGGACAGCAGCGGCGACGGTCGGAGGTGGACGAGGCGCACGCACGGCGAAGCTCGACCTGGACGGCGGTGGCGAGCGACGGAGGCGAGCGGAGCTTGACCGCGGCGGCCGGACAAGGCGGACACGGCTCGGTCGGGACGATGGACGGACGACGATGGTTGGGGGGAAGGCGCAGCGACGGTTGCTCGCGGCGGGGAGGATGACGGCTGGGCCGACGGGAGGCGCGATCGGCTCCGGCGAGGGCGCCGCTCGCGCCTTGGCTGGGAGAACAGAAACGAGGGTCGGCGGTGGCGCCCGGCACTGGGACGACGGTGACGAGCGGCGGAGGTGGACGACTCACGGCGGGTGGCTGGTTCCGCGAGAAGGGCTAGTCGGCGCAAAAAAATGAAGAAGCGAAGCGAGTAGCCGACGGGAAGCGAAGCAAGGGAGAAGCAAGACCAGCGAAGGAGAAGAAGAAGGGAAAAAGAAAAAGAAGAAGAAAAGGGGAAATGATGGGGCTAGGGAGGTAGATGGGGGTTTGGTGGTCAGACACGCAAAAAGGGAGGGGGAGACCGGCGGAAAAAGAGGAGAGAGAGAGAGAGAAAAAGCAAAGGTCAAATCGCAATAATCGCGATCCAACGGCCACGGTTTAAACCCGAAAAATGATCCGACGGTCCCCGAAAAAAATCCTAATTAATATTTTTAGGATTTGGCCAAAAGGGTGTTAATAAAAACACACTGCGAGGGTGATCTACCAGTCCAAATTCGCACCCGGTCAAAAATTCACTTTTCACGTATCCCAGGTAATATCGAGATTGACCACACTAATATCGACACCGTCCAATTAAATTCGTTCCGGAATTCCGAGAAATTCGACGCCAAAGTTTGGGCTCTAAATAACGGCCAAATTCGATCGAATGCGATTCTAGCGAAATCTCAATTTTTAAAAACAATAACCGGGAGTGATCAGTTCCCGGGCGAGATTTTACTATAAGCACACTGACGAATTACACGTTTTATAAATCCCAAAAATGTGCCAAAATTCGGAATGTCACAACTCTTTCCCCCTTACAAAAATTTCGTCCTCGAAATTTATACCCCAACCCAACTATTCAAACAAATGGGGGTATTGGTGTCGCATCAACTCTTCACTTTCCCACGTGGCTCCCTCGGTCCCATGATGTTGCCACACTACTTTGACAAGAGGAATCGTTTTGTTTCTTAATACCTGCTCCTTCCGATCCTCAATTCTCACGGGTCTTTCCACGTACGACACTCTGTCATCCACGTCGATCTCTTCGTAGTTCAAAACGTGGGTCGGATCCGGTTCATACTTTCTAAGCATAGACACGTGGAATACATCATGTACTTGAGCCAACCTTGGTGGCAATGCTAGACGATATGCCAACGCTCCAATTCGCTCCAAGATTTCGAACGGTCCTACATATCTTGGGCTCAGCTTGCCTTTCTTGCCAAAGCGCGATATCCCTCGCATCGGTGATACCTTGAGGAACACATGATCTCCGACTTGGAACTCCAATGGTCTACGTCGCCTATCTGCGTAAGTTTTCTGGCGACTTTGAGCAGTCCTTAGTCTATACCTGATGACTTTAACAGCATCCGACGACTGTTGTACCAACTCGGGTCCCGAAATCTTTCGTTCTCCAACTTCGTTCCAACAAACAGGAGTCCTACAGGGTCTGCCATAAAGTGCTTCGAAAGGTGCCATTTTGATACTCTGCTGATAACTGTTATTGTACGCGAATTCGACAAGATGCAACTGTTCTTCCCAACTCCCTTTGAAATCCAAAACGCAGGCTCGTAGCATATCCTCGAGAGTCTGAATCGTTCTCTCGGATTGTCCATCTGTCTGCGGATGAAAAGCAGTGCTATACTGCAGCTTTGTTCCCATGGCGCCTTGAAGACTTTTCCAGAACGTGGCGGTGAACTTGGGGTCTCGATCTGACGTGATCGTCACCGGCACGCCATGGAGACGAACTATATGTCTCACATACAACTCAGCATACTTGTCCATGGCAAAGTCCTTTCGCACTGGAATGAAATGAGCAAACTTTGTGAGTCTATCTACCACAACCCAGATGGAATCATTACCTCTTTGACTCCTCGGTAGACCCATCACGAAGTCCATCGTGATATGCTCCCATTTCCATTCTGGTATTTCCAGCGGTTGCAATAGTCCACCAGGTCTACAGTGTTGAGCCTTCACCTGTTGACACGTTAAACATCTAGCCACATGCTTGGCAATATCTCCTTTCATGCCATTCCACCAATAATATTGGCGAAGATTCTGATACATTTTTGTGCTGCCCGGATGAATACTGTAGTTACTGCGATGAGCTTCTGCTAAAATTTCCTCTTTAAGTCTTTCATCATTGGGCACACACAACCGTCCACGAAACTTCAAGATCCCATCATCGGATACTTGAAAGTCAGGTTTCCTCTTAGATGCGTCCATTTGCAGAATCTTTTGCAGTTCAGGATCCGAAGGTTGCGCTGCTTTAATCTTAATTTGTACTTCGGGTTCAATTCTGAGAGTAGCCATTAAACTCGAGAGGTGACTTACCTCGAACCTAAAATCCGAGTCCCGGAATCCTTCAAGCAAAATCCATTCTTGAACCATCATATGCGCAATCGAGGACTTTCGGCTTAACGCATCGGCTACCTTGTTAGCCTTACCCGGATGATACAAAATGTCGCAATCATAGTCCTTCAGCAACTCCATCCATCTACGCTGTCTCATATTCAATTCTTTCTGCGAAAATAGATACTTTAAACTCTGATGATCCGTATAGATATGAAACCTTTCTCCGCACAGATAATGCCTCCAAATCTTAAGCGCGAATATGATAGCAGCCAATTCCAAGTCGTGTGTCGGGTAATTCAACTCGTGTGGTCTTAATTGTCGGGACGCATATGCTACAACTCTTCCATGTTGCATTAAAACACATCCCAATCCTTTGTATGACGCGTCGCTGTAAATCTCATATCCCCCAGAACCAGACGGTAAGGTTAGAACAGGTGCAGTAGTTAGCTTCTGCTTAAGCTCTTGAAAACTACGCTCACACTTATCCGTCCATTCGAACTTCATGTCCTTTTTCAGTAATCGCGTCAAGGGCATGGCTATAGCAGAAAACTTTTCCACGAACCTCCTGTAATAGCCGGCCAATCCCAAGAAACTCCGAACTTCAGTTACCGTCGTTGGTCTAGGCCAATTCATAACCGCCTCAATCTTAGCTGGGTCTACTGAAATTCCTTCCCCAGAAATCACGTGTCCAAGGAAAGCCACTCGAGTTAACCAAAACTCGCACTTACTAAGCTTGGCATACAATTTATGATCTCGAAGAGTCTGCAGCACTATCCTCAAATGCTGTTGGTGTTCCTCTGAACTCTTCGAATACACCAAAATGTCATCAATGAACACGATCACGAACTTATCCAAATACTCCTTGAACACCCTGTTCATCAAGTCCATAAAAGCTGCAGGCGCATTTGTCAGACCAAACGGCATCACGGTAAACTCATAATGTCCATAGCGCGTTCTAAATGCCGTCTTCGGTATATCTTCCTTTCGAATTCTCAACTGGTGGTAACCTGTCCTCAGGTCTATCTTCGAGAATACCGAAGCTCCTTGAAGTTGGTCAAACAAATCATCTATCCTAGGCAACGGATACTTATTCTTAATCGTCACCTGATTGAGTTGCCGATAGTCGATACAAAGGCGCAACGACCCGTCCTTCTTCCTTACAAATAGAACTGGCGCTCCCCAAGGTGATGCACTAGGACGAATAAATCCTTTGTCCAACAATTCCTGCATCTGAACCTTTAACTCCTTCAATTCCGATAATGCCATTCTATAAGGTGCCTTAGAAATCGGTTCCGTTCCAGGGGCCAACTCAATCACAAATTCGATTTCCCTTTCTGGGGGCAACCCAGGCAATTCCTCAGGGAAAACGTCCGAAAATTCTCGCACCACAGCAATATCTTGCATACCAGGTTCCTCTACCAAAGTGTCAATTACAGTCGCCAAATAGCCTTGGCAACCCTCATCCAATAACTGAGTCGCCTCGAGTGACGAGATTAAAGGGATCGAAGGTCCTCCTCGATTCCCGACAAACTCAAAACCGACACTCCCTACTGGCTCAAACTGTATCGTCTTACGATAGCAGTTTACCGTGGCTCGTTGCTTGGTGAGCCAATCCATTCCAATAATCACGTCAAAGTCGAACATCGTCAAAACAATCAAATCTATGCTGTCCTCACGACCACCAACAGATAATCTACAACCAGTACAGCCTACTGCAGACACTATACTATCCTTTAAAGGGGTAGAAATATTATAAACCACTCCCAGCGGTTTCGGACTTAACCCCACTAATTCCACAAATTGCTTAGCCACAAATGAATGCGTAGCTCCAGGATCAAACAAAGCATAGGCAGCATGGTCGTGTAATGAAACCGTACCTGTAATGACGGCAGGCGAGTCCTCCGCCTCCTTCCTTGTGACAGCATAGACCCTGCCTTGCACTTGGGGTCGGTTCCACTGGTTCGGCGGGGCACTACTTGCAGGTTGTCCTACCTGCTGCATTGGTCTTTGCGCTCCCGCTGCCTGGCGTGGACAGTCTCTCACGTGGTGGCCGTGCTGGCCACATCCAAAACAAACTCCCGCCCTCATAGGGCAAGGGGCTGATCCATGGTGTCTTCCACAGAATCGACAGGGGCCATTATTGTTGTACACCGGTTTCCTCACGCCACCTTTCTTATTAGGAGGGACGTGGAACTTACTTCCTGTCATTGGTCTCTTCCCAAACCGATGATTATCCTTGTTTGGCACAAACCGCGATCCAGACGCGGCTGTCCTCTCAGCCAAGTTTCTCTCAATTAATTGCGCTCTTTCATACAGCTCATTATAGTCCTTCAGATTCAGGGGCACCAGTTGATCCTTAATCTCAGGTTTCAGCCCATCCCTAAACCTCCTTGCCTTGTCAACTGGGTCTTCAATCAACCTCGGGGCATATTGGGACAGCTCAGCAAACCTTGCCTCGTACTGGGTCTACCGACAATTGGTTCTGCCGAAGACGCTGAAACTCATTCATCTTCTGCTCTCGAGCGCAGTCCGAAAAGTACTTATTATAAAAAGCTTCCACGAAGGCACCCCACACCCGAGCCGTACCTTCGGGAAATGCCCTCCTCTGGGTAGCTTCCCACCAAGTACTGGCGTTACCTTGCAATTGGTAGACTGCCAGTGTCACCTTGTCTTCATCTGTACATCTCAATAAGGCAAAAACCTTATCCAACTCCCTAATCCAGAGGGTTGCAGCCTCAGGATCACCCGCGCCAGTGAACTTGGGCGGCTTGAGTTTCAGAAATTGCTCCACCAACTTGTGCATGGGCTGGTTCCCATTTCCATTGCCAGCTAACGGAACATCTACGGGGGCACAAAGGCGCAGGTGCGGAGTGCGGGTGCGAGTGCGAAGTGCGAAGTGCGCCGACGGCGGCGGCGGCGGCGGCGGATTCCGAGCCCGCCTTTGCCCTATTAAAGTCTCTAAAGCCTGCAGGATCTGGTCCAATCTAGGATCTCCTGGTGCTCTCCTTCTGGCACCAGCCTGACCTGGTTCGGCCCTTCTCCTAGGGGCTCTCGGTTCAGGATTATCCATCTCGCAGGATCTTTACAGAAACCTGCTTTCCAATTCCAACAAGGAATTAGAATTCCTGAACAACTTGCTTACGAATGAAAAAGCTAACAACCAAACACAGGCACTTAGTGTCTTCCTAACTCACTATCCCAAAACCCATCGCACCTTATCACTCCAAGTCTCGACCAAACTTGGATCGAGCTGACCTTGCTCTGATACCAATTCGGACGGGGATGTCACGCCCCGAACCCCGCGGGCGCACGACATCCCGCTATGGTCGTTAAAATGCGACATCCCAGGACTCGTCGCCGACCCTTTTCTTTTTATCTTTGAATTACGCAAGCGGAAACGATAACCAACACAACAATCCCCAGACAATAATTAAATCAGGGATAGCAGAGGAAAACCAGACATAACAACAGCCATTTTTTAATATTCACTTGATTAACCCCTGGGAACATACTTACAGGCCCATTCCGGGCGTTTCCACAAAAACCAGCAAAAGACAAAGGTTAGGGTTAATCTACTCCATCCAAAAGATCAGCTTCCAGGCCTAACCCTCAAGGACCAACCAAAAACTGCGGTACTCCAAACCGCATAAGAAGCAACGACAAGTTAAGGTCCTGAAAAAGGTTTAACAACAACAAATGAGATAAAATCTCAATAAGTTAACGGCCTAAGCCCCGCTTAGGAGGCCAACTCGCACGGGGGTCCCTAAACAGGCGAAACGGCAACAACAACATCGTTAACAACCACATGCATCCTCACCTCGCCTTGGTACACACATTGATGAAATGCATATGTCACATACTCGAAGCATTTAACGAGATTTTCCATGCATTAATGCAACACAGTCGCGCGTGTCTCGATTATAAGGCAAAACCCACTTGGGCACGTCCCATACCATGCCTAGCAGTTTCTACCCCATAATCAGGCACTATGCATCACACGTATTCCAATTATTACGCCCCCTCGGGGCCACCACACATCAAGCGATACGCAGCAAGATGGCGGTCTACCGGTAAAAACCGGGCTCCGTCCCGCCCCATCGGGCACGGCTACGTCAAACGATACACAGGATGACGGCATTCCAATACGGCAACATCAAACGATACACAGTAAGATGGTATCCCGTAGAGCATCGAGTCCGGCCTCGGGCCGCGACAAGGCATCCGGGTATCGGCACTCCGATTATCCCTGTGCATCCGATAAATCGGGCAACGTCAAGCGATACACAGCAAGACGGCTTTAACGTGTGACCACACGAGCACACAAGCATACCGGCCAATTATTATCTTTTCAATTAGCCCATGCGTCCATGAATAGTGCTCCCACAATGCCGCATAACAAACCAAGTGGTCACACATGCAAACAATCAATCAATTCTTGCACTCTTCGATATCAAACACGAATATCAATCACAAAGTATCACTAACATTACTTGGCATAACAGAATAAAATAATTTAATTCCAAAAGTCTCATAAATTTTCCACAGAAACTTTCGATCAAACAATTTGCCATAAAATCAATTTAATACGACAATACACGGCAAAATCGCCAACATTCAAGCTAGAAATCATAATTTGAAATTATAAATTTTTCGAAATAACAATAAATTAAATTCGAAATTAATTAATTACTAATATCCGAAAATAATTTAATATTCCAAAATGTCAAAATATTTCCTCGAATTGAAATCATTCAAATCATTTCCTAAAAATGCCAATTTATACGGTAAAATCCAACATTGGCATCACAATATGACGTTAGAAATTTCCGAAAATAATAGCATTTAATTTTCGGAAATTAATTATTTAATAATAAAATATTAATATTTAAATCCGAAAATAATAAAATAATATTTAATTCCGAAAATATTTTTATTTAATAAAATAATCAACAATATTAATATAATTGATAACCTATCACCACATCACGATAACTTATCACGCGAACGATAACCTATCACCAAAGGTTATCTAATAATTCAACATTAATTTAATCTAAACCTTAATTAAACTTAACATAAACTACCCTAAGCAAGTTTAACACCCTAAACACGGGATTAGGGGTTAACTTACTCGGCTAACGCCGGCGACGACGCGAGGACGACGGCGGCGACAAGGGCGGTCCGCGGTGGCTTCCGGTTCGGTTTCGGCAGCCGGCGGACGACGGCGAACGAAGGCGTGCGAGGGAGATAGCCGGGCATGTGGCCGGCTCCAAGCGTGGCTTGGTACTGTTCTGCTGATCGGGACAAGCCGCTGCGACGGTCGGAGGTGGACGAGACGCACGGCGAAGCTCGCCTGGGGGCGGTGGCGAGCGACGGAGGCGAGCGGAGCTTGACCGCGGCGGCTGGACAAGGCGGACACGGCTCGGTCGGGACGATGGACGGACGACGATGGTTGGGGGGAAGGCGCAGCGACGGTTGCTCGCGGCGGGGAGGATGACGGCCGGGCCGACGGGAGGCGCGATCGGCTCCGGCGGCGAGGCGCGCTCGCGCCTTCTTGGGAGAACAACGGAAACGGTGAGCGGGGGCGGTGGCGCCCGGCACTGGGACGACGGTGACGAGCGGCGGAGGTGGACGACTCACGGCGGGTGGCTGGTTCCGGCGAGAAGGGCTAGTCGGCGGCGGCAAAAAATGAAGAAGCGAAGCGATGAGCCGACGGGAAGCGAAGCAAGGGAGAAGCAAGACCAGCGAAGGAGAAGAAGAAGGGAAAAAGAAAAAGAAGAAGAAAAGGGGAAATGATGGGGCTAGGGAGGTAGATGGGGGTTTGGTGGTCAGACACGCAAAAAGGGAGGGGGAGACCGGCGGAAAAAGAGGAGAGAGAGAGAGAGAAAAAGCAAAGGTCAAATCGCAATAATCGCGATCCAACGGCCACGGTTTAAACCCGAAAAATGATCCGACGGTCCCCGAAAAAATCCTAATTAATATTTTTAGGATTTGGCCAAAAGGGTGTTAATAAAAACACACTGCGAGGGTGATCTACCAGTCAAATTCGCACCCGGTCAAAAATTCACTTTTCACGTATCCCAGGTAATATCGAGATTGACCACACTAATATCGACACCGTCCAATTAAATTCGTTCCGGAATTCCGAGAAATTCGACGCCAAAGTTTGGGCTCTAAATAACGGCCAAATTCGATCGAATGCGATTCTAGCGAAATCTCAATTTTTAAAAACAATAACCGGGAGTGATCAGTTCCCGGGCGAGATTTTACTATAAGCACACTGACGAATTACACGTTTTATAAATCCCAAAAATGTGCCAAAATTCGGAATGTCACAGTAGAAGCAAGTACTAGTCATTAAGGGGTGATGATTTACTGCAATCGTTCAATTAATGATACGTGTGCAACCTAAGTATACCCTAAAACCAACCCTATAACCTGTGATAGGGTAGGTGCTATATGCCAGGATATGCATGGTAGGTTTCCAATTCCAAAAAATGAGGAACCTATTCCAATGGATAAATTCCAAGTTCCAGATGAAACTTCTACAGAACTTAAAACTGTTCACTCCTAATTCCCTCTAAGTCTGATCTGCCTGGTTTGTTTGTACCCCTCATCTTTTTCCCAAAATCAATAAAACTTAGTTACTTCCATCCACCATCGCCCCTACCTTTAGACACTACGCCACCACCTCCAGCCGACATCCCTCGTCGTCAAGCCCCTCGACATTGCTCTTGCCATCGCCCCGATGATGATGCCCCATTCAATTCGTCTTCCCGCAGTTTCTTCCTCACTTCGACAGGCGGGCACTCTCAATAGAAAGTTGAGACAAGCTGTGATTGTCATGGAAAAGAACATCGGTTTACATATCTAAAATTCAAATTTTTTTATATTCTCGACACCTCAAATCACATTCTTTTTTGGCTCGGTTATTAAATTCGTATATTCGCTAGGGGTGATCGGTTCCAGGGTGGGTAGGGTCCAGACCTGGAACCTGGAACTTACCCTGTTATAACCGGTTCCCAGTTTTTGGAATCTGGAACCTACCCTGTTTTCCCTAGACCCTGTTTTGGAACCTACCCTGTTTTTCCGGTCCGGTTCCAGGGTCTACCCGATAACCTTTTTTTTTTTTTTTTTTTTTTTTTCTGGTTTCAGAAATTTGGAGCAAAATAAACAATTCACAAGCACCATGTTCAGCAATTGACATGCTCCCCTTGACATGTTCACAAGTGCTCTGTACTTCTCGAAGTAATAAAAATGAAAATGATGAAACTATATTAGCTAATGCATAATCCTGTCCATTTGTTTCAAGCAAAGAAAGTTCACCAAATATTCACCCACAGCGGATGGATAACACACAAAAGAAAACTGTGATTGCATCCCATTCCCCCCGGTTAAACTATGCCCAAACTATGATTGTGGCCCCATCTCCCTAGTTGCAGCAATGATTGCCCGCCAAACACAGAGAATTAAGAAAAGAGGACAGTTCACATTATCGTGCGATGGTATTTTAAAAGGATAATCACAACCCACAATACTTGATCGCGGTAGATTATTGGTCAAACCCAGAATTCCCGACTTCATATCCAGAAGCTGTAATAAACAGACAAAATTCGGCTCAACAATACAATTCGCATACGAAAAACTCCTTTTTGATCACAACCAGATTCAAAGAAAACTCTTTTTTTATTTTCCCCTAAGCATCAACCACGCGGATCCGAATCAGAAAACAGGGAACCGCAATCTCCACACACAGAAACCGCAAGGCGGGGGAAAACCAAAAAGGAAATCGTTACCGATCGTGGGAGACAGATCCTCGAAGGTGCCGGAGGTGAAGCTCAAGAGGAGCGAGCTCTTCCCGACCCCGGAGTCCCCGATCAAGAGCAGTTTGAACAGGTAATCGAACTCCGGCGAGCAGCCACGACGACGAGCAGCCGCGGCGACGAGCGGCGATGAGCAGCCGCGGCGACGAGGAAACCGGAAGAAAGGGGACTCGCAAAGAGGAGGGAGCGACTGAGCAGATTGAGAAAGGGGACTCGCACTCTCAATGCTAGGTTTTTTTTACAGTAACTTAAAACCGGTTCTAAAATCGGTCCGGTGGATTTTCACTTGACCGGGAACCTAGACCGTTTCAACCTGTTCGAAAAATAGAACCTAGGTTCCCGACAGGTTCAAAGGAACCGGTTCCCGGACCTGTTTTTCGGGTGGGCCAATCCGGTTCCCGGGTAAATCTGGTCCGGTTGCACACCCCTAATATTCGCTGAATATAGAATTATACAAATTCTAATCACTTTCAACCAAATCCTGGCTATCGGGCTTCTCATCCCAAAGCCCGAATATAAAAATCAAACAGGCCCAAAGTCCAGTCCCGTTCCGGGTTCACGAGGGCCCATATTGGTCCTTGGGTTTCGGAAATATTTTCCGGGCCCATCTTATACCTCCAAACCACGACAGCAACAACAAGCCCCGGCCCGTCAACCCACTCGGCCCTAGACTCTGAACGGGGGAAATTGGAAGCTCAGCTCGCGAGGACTCTTTCCCCACTTCTTCTTCTTCTTCTACCTCTCGACTCCTGCAGATTCTCCATCCATCCGTCCATCCGGAAGCGATGAGAATCTTGGATTCGTCCGCGATCACGAAGCTCGTGCTCTCGATCAGTCTGCTCTTCCTCTCCTCCTCCGGTGAGCGGTTTTCCCTCTCTTCTTTCTCTCTCCTTTCTTGGAAACGGTCATGGCGCCAGCTGATTGCCGGAGCTGTTTCGGTTTCGGCCATCCCACGGAGCTACGGTTTCTTTTGCTTCCTGTTTCTATTTTTTTCCGGTCGATTATGTCGATGCTCGATAGTATGGTTTAGGCACGTGATCGTCACGCGCCTCGGTGATTAGAGAAGACGGGCGAACGAGCGCGGGCGATCTCATGTAGCTGTAGCTGATTATAGGGGACTCGCTCGCTTTGTCGATAACGCTATAATTGGTTCTTAGCATCCAGCAGTTGACCGCGACCGGTTGTTCTTGACCACGACATCATGTGTTTCTTTGTTGTTGTTTATGGGTTGGCGAGAGAATTCGTTCCCGAATTTTTATTCTTTGTTTTGTTGGGTTTTGTTTGGTGCTCTCGTAGATGCGGCGAGGCCCGACGGGGTTTGCGTTTCGAAAGGTGGCCGTTTCCCGCCCTTCGCGTCGGAAGGGAAGCCTCCGGGGAAGGTCGGCAGAGGGTCCAAGGGCTTGACCCTTTGCCGCGTTTTCCGGAAGAAGACGTGCTGCGACGTGTCTCAGACGCATCCCGCTATGATAGCGACTAGGAGGCTCTCTTTGAAGGGAGAGGCGAGCGAGGAGTGCGCGCAGCTGTGGGAGCTGCTGGAATGTTCCATCTGCGATCCGAGTGTCGGTGTGCAGCCCGGACCTCCTCTTATATGTGCCTCTCTTTGTGACAGAATCTTTGAGGCTTGCTCTAATGCTTACTTCTCCATGGATCCAATGACACATGTGAGTCCGTTAACTGTTCTGTTGTTGGATTACCAATTCGACTTGCTGATGCCTGCTCCATCGTATGGGCTGTGTGTGTGTAAGGACATATAGACGTGCCAGATTACCCACCTTTATAACTGTTTTATCTTGGATGATCACGTTACCCACTCTCTAAGTTCTGTATTGATAGGTTCTAGCACCATGTGGAGTGAATGAGGTGATATGTGCTAGAGCTTCTGAATGTGTCTCCAATGGCACTGAGCTGTGCCTTGCTGCTGGTTTTTCTGTGAAATTGGATGATGACAGACATGTTGGCTCTGAAGAAGCACCTTGTTATGGCGGTCAAGCTAGTTTAGACTCAATTTCTAGTTCATGGAAGACTGCAAATTCTGAGATGCCTCAAGAATCTGATGATCACCAGCGGCTGCGGGGAATGCCATTCAGTAAAACAGTATTTTGGGCAGTGGGAGGGATGGTCTTGACTGGAGGACTGCTGTTTATAAGGTGATTCTACTCTCTTTGCACCCTAAAGTATGAATAGTTCAGGTGCTACATAAAAATAGGAACAAAGCATTCATCACCTATTTATTTTGATTTCTAGAGTTGGATTTTCTTGAACTCTACGATCTCTCTCCTGAACCAACGGTTATTTGTCACGTGACCATTTCCGATGTTTGCTTGGGGTCTCACTCAATTTTTTTTTTCCAAGGAAGTAATTGAAGCTTGGATAGTACGTAGTTTTCAAACCTCAAATGTAAGTGGTATATGAAATGTGTTTGCATGGTGGGTGCTGAAAATTAGCTCAAGCATCTTATAAGTTAAGTTTTCAGTAGCTTTTGATCTTTGTAGGTTAGTTGTTTCAGTTCCTATAAGCAGTGGCTTGTTTACTGACTGAACTCTGGCTTGCCATGCACCTTGAGTATGGGTCTGCACAGGGAAGAAGATGCTATCCCATAGGTGTAGCATTTCTGCCATTTGAAAAGAAATTTCAAGTTCTAACCCGATTTCCCACTGGAAGCTTGTCATAACTTAATAAAAAGTCAGTGTTAAGAGCAATGCTTTCTTGTCTCTCACCTGTCACATGATGAAGGGACTCCAGGAATTTGATTTTAGAACTCGAGACTGTTGTTCTCAGGATTTGGTTGAATAAATTGCTCAAGGCTATTATTTTGCTTCTATCTCTTGATTGCGGATGCTCAAAACTAGGGCGTGGTTCCAGTATGCATTAGTCAGTCAAAAGGAAAAGGATTTTGGTTCAGAGTTTCTCAGATAAATCACGTAATTTCTGATCTACTGTTGTTCATTTTATGGTACAAAGAACATCCATCTGATTCTCTATTTATGGCCTGTCATTTAGGGTCTTACGGGCATTCAAGTTTTGTTTTTTATCTTTGAATGTATATTGTCCTCACCTACAGCAGGAGTAGGAGCAAGAGCCACTACCAGAAAATTGCTGCTATTCAGCGTGCTGCAAGGAGACTGGAAGCTCAGACGAGCCAGAAATCTTTCAATTCACGTAGTAAGAAGGGGAAGGGAACATGAATCTCCACTATCTGCTTCTTTTACAGGTGAAGCGATCAACTGAGTTACCTTATACTTTACGTAATTATTGGAGAACTGCATAGGTATCAGTTTGGGAATCACGCAGTGAGATGTTAGAATCTCCTATACCTTCTCCTCTGGCCCTTCAAGCATATCAAGAAACTAGTTATCGCTGCAGATGCATGCCTCATTTGAGTTAATCAGATTCTTAATGTTTATGTGATTTCTTTATGCTAGCATTCCGACAGTTTATGACTTTTTGCTTCTGAGCTCAGTAAACCTCATCAATATATAAATTTAATTTCTCTGAGTTATGGCTGCCTAATTTGGTAATTTTCCGGGAATTAGAAGGTGATAGATCTCATTGTAATTTCTGGACTGTATTTTTCCTGTTAAAGAATCCTCCTTTGAGAGGGCAAAAGTAAGGTAAGCTTTTGAAGGCTTATTTTTGCCCCTATGTTCTTTTTTTCTTTTAGCCTTGTGGGTCCCATCCCCTGTAATGGGCGTCCGTAAATCACCCCATTCCCAAAGGTGAGGACCAAACTCCTCACCCCATTCCAAAGACAAGTGATGGCCACAACGCCATGAATCCAGTGGTTTGTTGGCTGCCTTCTTCACTTAAGCAGTAGAAGCACAACTCTATGCCATTTTCGTCATTCCAAAAGGTGCAGTTATACTTCTGTTTGCAGGTAAACCTATCTGCAATTGTAATTACTAAAAGAACACTGCCATCCTTCAGCGAGCTGTTTTTGTGATTCCGAAGCAGCAATTGATGCTGGTTCTGGCCGAAATCGAGACCAAGCATGGATCACTCGGCATACGTTCAGCTTTTTGGCAGGAAGAAATGAGGAAAACATGCCTTCTTCATTTGTCGAGAAGAGGGATTTTTGGCTGTAACCTGTCTTGTCATCTTACACTTTTCTAACGTTGCAGAAACATGGTTCTGTCTTGCTTTTGGGAGATGGAAATGTAGGAGTAGAAGGATTTACGTACACACAGCCCATTGGTGTCTACACAACACTGTTCAATTTGATGCATCAATGTGAATTCAGAAGGTTATCGGTTTATGTCTGCTGATATATTCATTGCTTGGATGCTCAAGTTAGCATCAGATTCATGGTATCCGACAAGTGTTTCAAAGCAGGGCTCGATAGCGAAGGCTGAGGCTAAAGTGCCACTAAACGACTTGATGTCTCCGAAAGATGTCACGTTAAGTGGAGATCATAATCGGAAGCATTATTTAAGGCCAAAAGTTGATGGATAGCCTTTTGTACATAGCACGCCGTCCTGTGCTTCTAAGCCACTCAATAGTCCTCCAGCTGATTTGCTTGCCCGATACTACACTCCATCCATTCACTAAACCCCAGAACTCCGGAAAAAATCAATGTTAGAGTTTTTGTCCCTTTAAGCGCTTGACAAAATGGTTATTTTCAGGAATCTATGAATTCTCAAACTACCTCTTTTCTCGATAGGAATTGCCCTTGATGTAGATGGCTGCTTTTCTCACGAAACACCGAATTGCCGGTGTCGTTAGTCACACTCAATAGGGAATAAAACTGAAATATTAACAGAGGCTTGTTGCGAAGACAACTCTTGAGCACACTTGCAGTTGACACCAAAAAATTACAGACGAAGAAAATTCAAATCATCAGTTTACCCTAGGTGAGCGATTTCCATCGGGCGTCCTAAGGTCTAAGGTCTCCCTTTCTCAGCTGCAAATAGAGCATGTGAGATCGAAGATCCTGAACCAACTCTCATCCTACCATCGTTGCTGCACTCGGATGTTCTTGAACGATTGGACTTTTTCGTCGAAATGGAGGGCATATCCTTATCTTATCTATGACAGGTATCTAGCTTATGCACGAAACCAGCTTTCCTTCTCATTTTCTTGTCAAAAGAAGAACATCTTTCAGAGACCACGGTCCGCGGATCAGACTCTTCCAAGCTGTGGAGGCTGCTCATACCAAGTCAAGAAAAAATTATTTCACAGCCCCACATCAAAATTGACTTAAATGAGAGAAAAAGAAAAATAAAGGCGTGATCTTTGTCGCCGTTGAATTCAGGAGAATGGTGAGGCCCAGGCAGACAAAGAAAGTTAGATTTTTCAATACCTTCTTAAGAGTCATTCTTGATGAACTGGAGCTGCCAGAGGCTTTGCTTTCAGCTGGTTTCAGTATCTCAAACGAACACACCAAATTCTCATCAACACTTAGCAATGCACCTGCATTGTCAAACTCCCCTCCATAATTGGGAGCTGAAAAGATTGTGACTAACCGCCGTTTCGCGAAAAATTCATACCCGTCCTCTACCACCTGCAATTAACCCCAGAAGATCTTTTCGATATCTTTTCAAGGCAAATTTGAAGGGAAGGACATCATGATGTAATGTTCAGCCATGGCTTTGCAATGTTTGTGATTGTAGAAAACGTTTTTCGAGAACAAGTCGACAGAATAAATTGTACTAGAAATAGGCTTCTCCAGAGTGCAAATCCAGCCAAGCATTACAGTTCTATTATCTACACCACAAATAACTAGTTCCTCCAGATTCTGTAGAGAGTCCTTCACTTAATACGAAGAACTACAGATCAGCAAGTACCAAAACCACTGGTTGGGAGATTTCAAGCCATAAATTGTACGGGTAATTATCACAACATCAACTTTTCTTTTACGACACTAATCCAAGGTATAATATATAGAATGTGATGGGACAATGAAACAGGAGACTGGTAATTGGATGGGTTGTTGTCGTGTTGATGTATGTGCTGGTAAAAGCAATTGTTTGATGAGCAAAACGTTAATTAGACATATTAGCATACAACGGAAATTTGAAAAATGGCCTTTCAACACATCATAAGAATTCTGAGAAGATTAAATTCGGAATATTTTTTATTTCATGAGTCAATGAAGCGCCTCAAGTTTAAGAGTGCCCTAAGGATGCTCGCAGCATTTTGCATCTTTAACGGGCATCAAGCTAGATAGTAAAGAGATTGGCTTACCTGATGACCTCGGCAAATGAGATCAAGATCATTCTTATCCAAAAACTCAGCAACCTTATCAGCTCCAAAAGTACATGAGACACCACGATCACTGTCGGCCCAACCATCAATACTAGGGTCTGGGTCAGACCACAGAAGATCACAGAGAAGACCGGCATCGGGAACCTCGGTTGGCCTCGATATTTCCTTTATTTGATCCAACTTGTTCAACTCCGGGGAGAGGCCCCCATGCATGCAAAGTATCTTATCATCGATAAGGGCAGCCACAGGCAGGCAATTGAAGCAATCGGTGAATATTTTCCAAAGCCTAACATTAAAACGCCTTTTGCACTCATCATAAAAACCGTAGATGCGATTTATTTTTGCGTCTTCGTGGTTTCCCCTCAAGAGAAAAACTTTGTCGGGATATCTTATTTTGTAGGCCAGGAGCAAACATATCGTCTCCAAACTGTGCTTCCCACGATCTACGTAATCTCCTAGAAAAAGATAGCTCGCAGAGGGAGGGTGGCCACCATAATCAAATAGCCTCAGTAGATCGTGGTACTGTCCATGTATATCACCTGTAAGAAACCTGCAACATTAGAATTACTTGATGCATACTAACTTGATTGTATTGAATGCACTGACGCGCTAAAAGACAGAAGCTTGCATTCAGCTCAAATGAATTTGTACCATTTTCCCCTTAATCAAAGAGCCTGAAACTACTAAGCAATCCTTTCAAGTCCTCCTACTAAGAACCCCGTCCTTGGAGCATCTGTCCTCCCCAAACATTAACAAATTCACCAATGCTTTGATGCGCATTAATTAAATTACAACATCTCAAGATTCTTACTTCAGCACCCTGCTCTTTGTTCATTTGCTAAGCAAGAATAAACACACAATAAAATATTTCCACTAGCAAACACGAGTCATCGTTTCATCAAATCAACTGCCTTCAACGTCAGTGAAGACAGCAAAAACAACTGCTGTAGTTTATGCAGCAGAAACGAGAAACAGACGAAAGAAGCAACCACGTGCTAATCAGGTGGACAACAGAAACAAAAGAGAGCTATGAGAAGAAAACTATAACACACAAGCCCTTATGATTATTGGTTCCTAGCCATTTGCCACATAATCCTTTGCCACAGACTAATGCACCTGCTGCACAACCAAAACCACCTTCCAATCAATCATGAGATGAGAGCATGACAACATGAGAGAGAGAGAGAGAGAGAGAGAGAGAGAGAGAGAGAGAGAGAGAGAGAGAGAGAGAGAGAGCTCATACCGCAGATTCTGATAGGAGCGTGAAGCTTCAAGAGATTGGGCTGAGACAGGAAGATTTGGCGAGCGTTGATGCAGAGTTGGCGGATCTCAGCCTCAGAAAGCTGAACTTGCTTCCCTCCTTTGCCTTCCAATAATCTCCTTAGTATGTCATCCAACACACCCTTCTCCATCATTCCTTCCATTGTCATCATCATCATCTTCTTCTTCTCTTTCTCCACTCAAAAACACACTAACAATCAACTCCCTTCCAATATTACCAAGATTAAACCGGCTCAGCTAGCTTCTGTAGAAACAAACAGCTCAAAGCGTGTGCACAAGAACAAGAATATGAAGGAATCACCCAAATGAAAAATCTGTTCTTTGGTCCTGCAAAATCCCTTTATTTTTAAGGGATTAAGAGGAGATGAACAAAAGGGTATCTGCTGAATTGAGCGACACGGATCAAAAGAGCTCCACCTTTTTGTCTGTGCAATGAAAATCAACCCAAGAGGGTATGCTCAGATATGAGAGAAAGTCAATGGAGAGGATTATGCTTATGTACATGGAATTTGGAAGATTTCCATAAACTCTCTGTATGTGTGAGAGATAGGGGGAGAGGGAGAGAACTAAATCTGTTAAAAACTTACACTTGCAATATGAATTGAAAGAGCATAAATCCAAACTTTAAAAACAGATTGAAGGTGAGAGAGAGAGAGAGAGAGAGAGAGAGAGAAGAAAAATCAGGGCTTGGAGATTGTGAGGAGCAAAAGATCAAGAATGATGTTGTCAAATGTTGTGCGAGAATGAATCTCACCCTGTGCAAGGAGATTATTCATTACGGTTGATGTGGAAACCTCAAAAAGCGGGCGACTACTTGGCGCCTCACAAGAGCCGGCGCAATTTAGCATCCATTATACATTTCTTTTCTCTTCTCTGCTTTCACTTCAGAAGACTTTAATACCACGATTATTTTACTATTATCCATACTTAAACGACGTTTGGCATTTTTCTTACAAGCAAGAAAGAACCTTTTAAGGACCCGAATCATTCATCTTCAAAATGAACTACTTCCATTCTAAATAAGTGTTCTCTGCCCGATTCAAAAACGTTGAATTTGCTCGCCTCGAGCTTCTAAAGAAACAAATTTGACCTGGGTATTTAAAGAGATGATGACCTTTTCACCTTGTCTGCCCCATGCATAAGATACCCGATGCACCCAGAATTGAAATGTTCAATGCATATCAGTAAAGTTTTCAACTTTGTAGACTAAATAGGATTTAGACATGCGATTCCAGAGAAATATCAACCTTCTCAGGATGAGAAAAAGAACTTGAAATATGAGAAAGTGGATTGTCTGATGAGAGAGCCCACAAGGCGCAACGTAGCGGATGATGAGTACAGATGAAGAGATGTCGTGGGAGTAATGTTCACGACAAGTAGCTTGGTGGGTTAATTTGTAAAGATGAGGGCAAAGATCGTGGCCGACTCCTTTTTCTATTTTCTTTTTTCCCCTCTCTCTCTCTCTCCCCCTGTTGAGCTTCGCAACTTGAAGAAACCGCGTACTTTGAAAAGTCTCAAGTGTTTGTGTGTACCATGAACTTCTGACACCGCACCGCGATGGAATACAAGTCAGGCTCGATTACAATACACCCTTAATTTAATGTTTCCCTCACCTATCATGGAAGACCACGTAAGAAGGCATTTTCCTTTTGTTAGTTGGTGCCTTCCTTGGACCTAACTGAAATTCAGTTTATTGGAGGCATGCCCGTTCACAAACTCAATGAACGCATCGAGTATTTGCTTGAATAAGTTTTATTTAGTTGATGATGATAACGAGCATTGAGTCACTATGCGACTTGTTTGGCTCACTAACGCCACCATCTTTAAGCACAGAATAGTTCGTTCAAAAGGGTTTGGTGAGAGCATCGCCGTTTCATTAAAATGGATGAATAGATGGATTTGCTTTTGGCGAATCTGTTCAACTCATTAAAATTCTCCACAATTCGTGTTAATTTATATGCTGGGGAAGTTTCAGACACTTCTTCGCATCAAAGACTAGTAGGTTCGCGTCAAGGGGAGTTTCTATTAGCATTTCATTGTCAAGTGAACTTCCCAATGAATAAGTTATTCTCTGAAAGCTACAGAGTCCACTTTCAGTTTTTTACAGTAAGTGCTGAGACCAAGTCAATTTGGAGTTTACCGCGGTTCAGGGAAAGCAGATTAGGTAGGTGGGAACAGTGGAGTGAAAGGGATAATCTCAATGTTTTTGTACGTGAGAAGAGATCAATGAGATAAAGAGAGCTTTCATTTGTTGACCAATTTGACTCCATAAAATTCTGCCCGAAAATACTCTGAGAAACTTCCTGTAGACAGACCTGAAGGGCCTTCAACAATCATGGCTATCAATAAACCATTTAGAATATGTGAAAAAAAAAAAACAGTCTTAACTTAGGGTGCATTTGTTTGAGAGAAAGTATTTTTCGGGAATCCGTTTTTCGGACTTTCATCCATTTGGTTCGCCGAAAATGATAAATAAACTGAAAATATTTTTCGGTCAAGGAAAAAATTTATGTATAAAATTAGGAAAATGAATTCTCTAATCTAAAGAGGTGAAAATACTTTCCGGAATTGTTCATATTGAATTGGTTAATATTTTTTCTTTTCTCTTCTTTCTTTTTTTATCTTTTTCTTTTCTTTTTTTTTCTTTTTCCTTCTTCCTCCCTCCACCGGTCGCCGGCCTTTCTTTTTCCAAAATAAAAATAATTTAAAAAATACAAAAATTTTCGATAATTTTCACCATCAGACTTTCTTCACTAAACAACTGAAAATACTTATCAAGTCTTTTTTGGGTTTTAGTCAAACACCGGAAAATGAAGTCATTTTTCTGGAAAATGACTTCCTAGAAAGTATTTTCTAGAAATGGTACATTTTTCAGGAAATAATTGCATCCTTAAATGAGTTCACAGTGTCACTGTGATCCAGTTATTTTGGTCCCCGAGTGTCTTTAACACAGCACCATGCCGAGTCTATGTTCCACGGAGAAGCAAAACTTCACCGACCATCTGTTCCCCGGTTGAGATATTTTCTTGTGCGCGCACGCTTGACATGAATGGAATTTTTTGCTTCTTGACAAACTTAACCAACTTCATGTAGGCATAAAGTATCAGGCGAGGACGAACGAACAAAATCATTAATGATGCAGCTGGAATTGATTGACCTACGATGTCATGGACGCATATGTATGTTTCCAGAAACAGAAACGCGGCGGCATTCGAGGGAATTATCTCCAAGTCATACTGACCGAATTTGGTAGTTTCACCACAAGCTTCAAAAGAACGGTACCTTCTCCACAGACAGCACAATAAGGCAAAGCTACGCGCCTCCTTCCACTCAACTAACTCCACTAAATGTCAGTTACAGTGGTTGAAGAGCAACAAGAAAATCTCAGGGCTATTAAATGGCACTCTGTAAACTGTCCTTAAAAAGAAGACAAAGTGTCCCCTCCTTTAAAGAACCATTGGCCTCCAAATATGTACAGATTTCACCCGGTCCGGAAGTTATTATCTGCATCTACCTCAAGATATTTCGGAGTTCAATAGCACTTGCTTCAGTTTCCTTGTGATGTCAATGGAGTTGCGTTCACGTTTGGTCAAAAGGAACAAAAAACAGAGTATGCAAGTTCAGCTCTCAAGTCGTGCAACACACAACAGTTTCCCATGGCTTGCATCGTTAAGCTTCTATAGAATGAACGTATGCAAGAATTTTTCTTAATTACCCATTTTAAGAGGGGTTGCCCGGTGTGCTGGGGAGTTCACCCAATGCATATATAAAAAAAGTATAGGGTGCCCTCCTCTTGGTGCCATTATAATCTCTCCGTATTCAATCACTTTCATGGGTGATCAATGTGTTACAACACGGTTATGTGAATCCGGTCATACAAGGATGATGTTTTAGAAAAGCTGCAACAGCATTCGTGCGATAGAGTTCACTTCTCCTTAAATCAGAGACGATCATTACAAGTCTTAAATGTTCAATCAAGACAATGGAATGGCAGAATCATTCTGTTTTTAACTCGATAACCATTCTTCTCCGTCTGTGTCATACTAATTGGGCGGGGTGCATGCCTTCTTTCCGTTCCAAGTCGCATGCAATAATCATTCTTAAGATGAGAAATTTTGAAGTGGCGAAGAATCATTGTCAGAGTTTGAGCTCTTAAAACGAACCATTGCCAACTCTTACTTTAAGATTTATAATTTGTTTGGCAAACCATTTCAGCCTTCCAGAAAATCCTATTGTTTGAAGAGTGACCATTTTTAGCTAAATAAAGAGGAGAAGAAACAGCAAATAGAGAGTTCAGCTCCCCTAATTGAAACTTCTAATGAAATTTGGGTTCCAAAGGGGAGAACCAGATTCAACATTCAAAAGAACAGCCACAAAAGTTTCTTGACCAACGGAGACAGAGAAGATAGCAAGAATCTTGAGGGATATTATCACAGCAAACATCATACCAAACACAAACTCGGCGACCATTGCCCATATCTAATCTGATCAGCGACACTAAAATTCCTAACCAATATGAAGTCACAATCTATGCTTCAAACAGTGAAAAAAAACTGAAAGATCAAATTCTTTGCAAATTATTGGAAAAAGGGGCTATATACAAAGATCATAACTAGTACAAGTTTTTTGCATATAAATATAGACTGCTCTGAGCAATCTTAGTAACACAACCCAGAGACCTATTCAAAAGTTGGTTACAGATTCAAGTTCAATGGCTTTTAAAACTAATGAAGAATTCTCGATCAAATGAAAGCTAATAAAGAAAATGTGGTACATGACCCATGTGGACAATCCAAAACAACCAAAATCTGATTAGTTAGCAGTGAGTGCATCTAAGCAACCATGTTCGAAGGGAAGAAGCTGTCCACATAGATACATGTTGCGAATTAGAGAACATATGTATAGTAATCTCATCATATATTTCAGCAGCCAAATAGCTTTTAGCTCACTCGAGTCTCTGACTCCCAACTTAGAAACACTTTCATCTAGAGCAAGCATGAGCATAAGAGCATTATATCTCTGTAAGAGACTAGTGTCAGTTTCTTAGGATATCCTGAAGATTATTGAGCAGCAATGCAATGTCTTTTGGTTGGCTGTTGTAATAAGCCTAATGGAGTTAACGGCTCTCTCACCAGTGCGAAGATTTTCAGATGCACCAGGCTTATAGACCTGCTGAATAGTGGCTTTGAGAACCCAATGGGGCCAAAAGTAAACCATAGACACAAAAGTTCTTCGAGATCATTCAACTAAAGTTGCTTGATATGCAGTCATTTATCACGTTCTCATTTCTCTGCCGACTATTTCATCTAACATGCAAATTTTCTATTTGAAGTCCCGTGGATAACTCCTCTATGGTTGGCGGTCAAATACCACCTATTGCTTCCTCCAGGTTTTGAACCTGCGCCATACCCTTGGAGAGGAACAGAACACATTCTCCTGGTCATTTACAATACAACTGTATTGATGTAAATAGTAACTGTACATTGATCAGGGAAAACGATAAATTGGTCCATGGTGGAGGGATCTCCACATAGCAAAGTGGTCACAATACTTCATCGGGATTTGTCCGACGAATAAGCATTCTTGATTTCATCTCTTTATAGCTGTTATCCACATGAAAGTTTTTCAGTGGAGTCCGACCGTTAGAGAATTTAACTATTAATCAAGGCCTTCATTTAAAAGCTTAAGCTTTTAGAGTAATTGGATGTGTAAATTTCACATGGTATCAGAGCAAGAGGTCTCGATAACAAATCTTCTGAAGTCCCTTATATGCCTTCTCATTTATATTTTCACAGTTTACTCTTAGGTCAAAGTCCACACTACGTGTGAGAGGGAACTGTTAAAATGTTTAAAATATAAAACCACACATTCATTTAACAGTTTAAACTTTTGGAATAATTGGCAATGATTTCACAAAATTTCACACTAACGTTTAGATCATTCGAGGAAATGGAATACCATTGTCTTTCTCTATGTTTGGAAGAATTTTAGGGCAATTAGAGGGAACGGGCCATTCCAAATTGAGAAAAATATCTACAGATAGCTCTTATTTTTCTCCTTCTCATATTTGAATATAGTTTTGAAAGTTCAAAACAATACTTCCTTTTCGCTAACATAGGATTTCCGTAGCAGCCAAACAAATTCTACTCAAATTTTTCTTTCATCTGCAATCCCTCACTCATTCCATCCCCTTCTCTTCACAATCTACATTAAACACATAGACAAGTCTAATTTAGGGTGAACCAGCAGTAATAGGAAGATAATTTCTCGTGCATTTTACACAATTCAGAACAAACATTCTTCAAGATAACCCTTCTTAGAAACAATTGGGTGAAGTCTGTTCTGTTCTTGAATTCTACTCCACTTTCATGTATCTGTCACGAGCATTCTTCACAGTACAGCAGCATAATCTTAACAAATGCAGAAACCATCGAGCGCACAACAAAGAAGAAGAGAAAAGGCTTGGCAACAATTAATCATTTTGAGCTCAATCTATTTCCATCGCGTCACAAAGGATAAAGAAATGAATTTCCGGCGACGCGACAACGTTTCGTCGCCAATTCCATTTCTATCAGTAAGAATCAACAAACGGCCTACTACTTCTTCTCGTCATCTCACTCGCCCCACCCTTATCGCAATTCAACCCGCATCCGCACTGAGGGCACTCCTCGAAGTTATCGATAGGGAAATCCGCACCTGCGATGCCGACGGAGAACTGCAGATCGTCGCCCCGGCGGCTGACCTCCACGATGTCCACCCACACGAACAGCAGCTTCACCTTCACCCCCTGCAGGTTCTTGAGCCGGTTCTCGGAGATGACCCCGCGGATCGTGGACTTGTACTCCAGCTGGTACGACCCCTCGAGCGAGAAGCTGCAGGTCTTGTTGAAGTAGGCGGCGAACGCGCCGGTGGGCTCGTCGAGGTCGTAGCCGTTGACGCCGATGGGGAGGATCCCGGCGGGGAAGTTGTAGTCGCCGAGGATGTCGTACGCCGATCGCTCGCCGGCGGGGCCCGGACGCGCCGGTTCGGCGCTGACGAGGAGGGCGGCGGCGGCGCAGAGGATCGCCGACAACGAAAGTAGCGATCTGGGAGCGAAAGTGAGACCCATCTCTGTCTCTGTCTCTGTCTCTCCGGCGGTCGTTGTTGATGGATGAGGTTTGCTTGCGCGAGCGAGGATGGGAGATTGCGTCTCTGTCGAAGCTTTAACTGAATGTCTTCGGAGAGAACGAAAGTTCGGTACAGTTCATCACGTTGTTCCGCAGATCGAATTGGAATGGTTGTTGTTGACTTTGACTCTCTCTCCCTCTCCCTCCCTCTCTCTACAAAATGGGCCTGAGGCACAAATGGGCCCAGTGTCCAGTATCTGCTAGATGGGCTTTTGAAATCCCGTGGAGTTTTGCTCTTTCATGACACGGTTTCCGAATCTTTTGACTCGACTAATCTTCACGGATTTTCGGAATCTCTACTCCTTAACTGAAAAAAAAACATAAAATTATAATTTATTTTTGTTGGAGGTTATCGAGGTGCTTGGATGAACGTTGATTGTCATCGACCGGAGAAAGATTGCGCATTTTCTTAATGGTTTGGCCTTGATGTAGACGGTTGTCCGGATTCGAAACCTCTTGATCAGAGGAATTCGCAGTTGTACGGAAGTCGGGCGCCATGTGTAAGGATATCAACTTAGATCTCACTTCACATTTGATTTTTTTTGCGTGTCGACTACCTAAAGGCGTGACCCTGATTAAGCTGCTACTCGGAGGGGAACTAGTATAACAACCTACCGTCATAGTTCTCCACTTGAATGTGATTTTTCCCAGAAATGATCAAACTTGAGACCATTAGTTCTTGAGCCGAAAGTAATGCAATGCCCTTACCACTTAGGCTATCCCAGGAAGGGTCGCGTCGATATTATTCCCTCATGTTACAACATGTCTATATAGACATTTACTTTTTAGTTTTTGCTTAATTTAAATTTTGCAATAACGCGCTCTGAATTTTTTTAATCCGAAACATCCAAAACTTTCTCAACATAACAATGTTGACACGTAAATTCACATATAAACTTTTATAAATTGAAATTCGAACATTATTTTAAGATTTTGACTGGGTTTTCATGTTTTGACCTCAAACAAGCATGCCGTTAAGCTGCAAACACTCATGTTTTTTTATTGTCCATTTAATGTAGTTACTTTAGCACGTCTTTAGGAATCTTGTGCTTGATTGATGGACAAGAATTCGCGCTCCCGAGAGGTTGCTTGAGGAAGCATGTTATCCAACATACCACGACATCCATGCTTATATAATATGAAATAATATAATATGATATGATATAATATGCTACGTAAAATTAATGGGGCATCGACATACATGCACATTTCAAATCAGGGACATTGAATTGCGTCTAAAATTCCCTAATCACTCGATGAAAATGACCTTCTCTCCTTATCAATGCCTGGTAAGATCCAAAGTTAGGGTTTAATCAAGAAAGACATGCATGCATTACGTGAGACAACTAGCGAAGGTTCCTCGCAAGTGCCTACGAAGCAAGTTCCTCGAGCTTGTTAAGTTTGGACATTACTTTAATTACGACTAACGCTCCGTTTATTTTACGAGAAATGAATGATTTAAAAAATATTTTCTCAAAACATGATCGCTTGTATAGTTTGAAATTAATAATCAACGGAAAATATTTTTATTATCAGCAACAATTTCTACCCAAACTTTTTCGTGAACGATGAGAATATTTTTCGTTTATTCATTTTTTTTGAGCGATATAAGCAATCATTTTTGGGAAAATATTTTTCAAATTATTCATTTTCCGCAAACCATTTGTTTTGCGAAAAACATTTTTCTTATTTTCCGATGTTTGGTTCGTTTAGGAAAATGAATGAATGGAAATTAAATCTATACTTAAATTACTATAAGCTCCAGTAACAATATTATCAGCAGACTCAACTTTAATTCCCATACCTTTATCATTTTTCAGCTTAAATCTCTTCTAAGATGCCCCATTTTACCACAGCTCCAACACATAGCACCACCGCTCCTAGACTAACCACGTTTATTCAAGTTTATACACTTCTACTAACACGAGTACCAGTTATTCCTTTACTTTCACCTATTAAAGCAACGAATACAGGCTCACTATATTCTCTCCCATGGATGTTTTCACTTAGAATTAAATCACCATAGGAATTACTAATAGCAGTAACAATAGTATTCAAACTATCAGACAATGAGGATAATAGAATCAAAGTACATACCTTATCTTCAAAGTTAACTCAACTGAACTCAATTAACTAACAATCACATTGAATTCATTGATATGATTAGCAACTGATGCGCCTTTGCCCATCTTTAAGTTAAACAGAAGTACATGTCCGACATGGCTTTCATAAAATCCGCAATAGTTTTCTCTTTCGCGATGTTAAACATAACAGTATGAGCCAAGGTTAGCCAAATAATGCCCAACGCTTGTCTATCCAGTAATTCCCATTCATCTTACTTCATCGACTCTGGTTTCTCCCTATACAGGGGTAAGTACAGTTTCCTTTGATATAGGTAATTATCAGTCTGCATTTTCTAAAATCCAAAATCCTTTCTATCAAATCTATCAATTTTCACTTTTCCTTCTTTTGTCCTTATTGATTATCTTCAACTCAGCCAAGCTTAACTCTGATACAAATTGTTGCGGAAGAAAGCGGTTGAACAATAAAATAAACAAAACAAAACAAAAAAATTAAACTTCGGCTTTACGTGATTCAGTCGATGTGACCTACATTCACGAGAAGAGCAACAAATAATTTCATTATAGATTAAGCAATATAATGGAGATTACAACTATGCTCGAGTCACTCAAACACTCTCGGTGTTTCCCAACCCCCAATTACACTCAATAACTCACATAGTGTTTAACCCCATAATACCTCACGATATAATCTCTCATATCACAAAGAAATGAACAAATCTTACCACAACATTTAACCGCCTGCAACACTATATTATTAGTGTAATTCCGCAAAAAAAATCGCTACGCATGAACTTTACAAAGAAGCTCTCTTTGCATTGACTGAAAGTATATTGAAAGAGTGAAGACAATTAAACAAAATCGCTCAGCCGTCGCTGGCGAGGGCGAGCCTTGCCAGTGGCCGGTTGCCAGTCCAGCGACCGGCTAGAGGAAGGAGGGAGGGGAGGGAAAAAAAAGAAAAAAAAAATAAATATTAAAAAAAAATTAAAAATATTATTAAAAGTTGTCCACGTTAGTGCCGGTGACCGGCTGGCGTACACGTCAGCAAAATCAGACCAAAATTGACCGGAAGGATTGAATTGGCACAAAGACAAAATGTGTAGGACTGAATTGGCACAAATGCAAAAGGTTTAGGACTGAATTGGCACCAAAAAAAGGTTTAGGACTAAATTGACATAAATACAAAAGGTTTAAGACTGAATTGGCATAAAAAAGGTTTAGAATTAAATTGACACTAATATCAAAGGTTTATAACTTTTTTGACACTTTTCCCGTTAAATTAGTGATCCAATTTCTAGAATCTTCAAGATTGACATTAGCTAGAGAAGTAAAAAAGAACGCTACAAAAAATCTAGTCTTAGGCGGCAATGAATGTGTGTAGAAGAGTCTAGAAAGCACAAGCAAAGTGTTGAAGTCTCTAGGAGCTCATGCATGGAAAAGAGGGAAAGCCACCATGAAGAAGTCGGTTATGAGTGACTATAAAAATAGGGGAGTGGGCGTCCATCTTGTGGGAGTAGACCAATAAGCTTAGCTACTTCCCTTCCCTTTGTAATTCTCACCAAAATAATGAAAGTCTTTCCTTTTCCTTGTGCTCCCTTCCCGACAATAACCTCTCATACATTCATCCTTGTCGTTTCTTTGCTCAATCCCTTTCCATATACTAGCACACAAAGCAAAAACTAACAGGCTGTCTCTGCTATTTGTGCATCGTCCCCGTCCTTCATTTCATTTTGATGGGGTTATATTCGAAATTGAATCAGAATAATCACACAGATAATAGAAAAATTGACACACAGGTTTATCCAGGTTCGCCCTAAAATAAGGTTACGTCCTGCAAAGGGATTCTGCTATGATATATAGGTTTTCAATCACAGCCACTCGTTACAATGATCTCTCATACAAGTACAATATATATAGAACTTAAAATGGACCCAAAGCCCAAGTTTATCCAAATCTCTTTGATCCCATAACAAACGGATCAACAAACTCGATATTATTTTGGGGGCGCTGCCCTCGAGCACCCGCCCACTCATCGGCGAGCAGGGCCGCCGTCTGCTCACTGGGGAGCGGAACCCCCGCCCGCTGTCCAGTCAGCGGGACCCTCGTGTCAGGGGCACCCCGCATTCCGTGCGCAGGGTCAAACGTCGTCGGATCATATTTTGGTTTTCCTAAACTCACGTGGGCGTGCCCGATATGAGAAACATAAGTCCCCAAATATTCGTCAACTCTAACACGTTTCACCCGAATGAAAATTGAGGCGATCTCATTGGATGATCTTTGAGAATCATTTCTGGCCTCTCGAGTTGAGAGTTACGCGTCTTTTCCGAAACTTCTTATATTGCATAAACAGGAAGTGATCAGATACAACAGCTGACGACCGAGGAGACTCCTAATGCAGATAGTGAAGCTTCCAAACACTCAGCGAGTGAACCAAAAAGTTGGGCTTTACAGTTTGGTACTTAAATCTTACATCTTACACAATCACATGAGTGTGTAAAGAGATAATTTAAGAAAACTTGTAATCAAACGAACTTATCAATGCAGCTTATGTAAACCCCATCTGCACCTCACCATGCAATTGATTAGAGAATCATTTCTATCTTTTGGTCAAGTAGAGACTTATGGGCACTAAACGAAAGATCGCTAAATTTACTTTTTAAAGCTCTTTAATATTCGAAAGATTGAACGATTTCAAAAAGGATGTGGCTAAAGAATGCCATCGAGGCAAGACTCGACGAACAGAACACCACCTTCGAAGAACTCTTTTTATGTCGAGTACATTTAACAAGAGTTACTGAGATACTCTTTACCATGTTCTTCAATCAAGAGAAAGATTACCTACTCAAACAGAAACACTGACATAGCTCGACTCGAAATGGGTCGCTTCTCTCTCTCTCTCTGTGGATAAATTGCGGTGGACGGTGGAGATGGATAGGAGGGCGCACTTAATGGTGGGTCCGATACAAGATGTGCCTTACCTTAACTGCAGTACATTATTACACTTTGGTCCCAAGAAAATACACAATCAAACCAGCAACATCAATTGGAATAATTAACTATTCCAATAAACAGATAGGATTGACCTAACTCTGTCCAAAATAAAAAAAGATTGATGTATCTGTCAATCTTTCTCTTGAGCTACTACTACTTGAGGAATGGAAGTTGGATCTAAGAGAGGCTCATGTGGTTGCCACCCTTTTTCCTCCACCGTTGACGACGACGACTGGGTCTTTGGCTTGTAATACATTGCGTACAGAATCAGCTGAGCTGTTCCAAGTCCGAACCCGGTCCCGTTTGGTATCTGCATCCAATTCACCATTCAAGTTCATGAGCAAACCTCTTTCTTTTCTTTTCCTGAGGTGCTCATTTGATCGAGTATTGCTTTCTTTTGTTGTGAATAGTTGAGTTTTTGGCCATTTCTTCATTTATTATGTAGAAGTTGATAATATTCCATTGAAGAGCTGACTTAACTCTCCCATTTCTTTTCAAAACCCGCATTTAATAAAGTTAGGTCGCGATATCAGAGTTGCACATGTGAATCGAAGTATGAGATCTGTTTCCTATTTTTCTTTTGAACTGCTCTGACTTCTGTCCGCATCTAGGATTTGCCTTGTACAATCAAATCTTACTTACAAGAGAAATGGTGCTATTATATATGTATGTGTTGATGACTGATATACACGTATTGCCGGCAAGCAAGCGTGAGTAGTCTGTTTCATCAATGAAAAGACTACGCACATAGTGCTCAGCATGCAACGAGTGACACTAAATTATCCTTGCACAGAGCGGTGAACACCAATCTGATCATCAGATAGCAAAGGGTAAATTTTGGGCTACTTTACGTGCATGCATATTTTGATGCTGCTTGCAATGGTTGGTTTTTCAATCATCATATCTACCTATGGTCGAAAAGATAATAGAGAAACCAATGTAATAGAAAAGGTGGAAATCAAGCTTACTCCAATGAAGTAGTCATTGGTGAGGATGGCGTAAACAGTCCAAACGCCGCCGTTGATGAACAGGACAAAGGAGAGGAGGAAAGGCATGTACTCCACACTCTTCGTGGTAACCACCGTCTTCTGCAATAATAATTGAGATTAAAAGTCAATTTCATGCAACATATCAAGCAATTAGTCACCTTCGTAATAATATTGTTTAGCAGACACGTCATAGCTTACGCACGTGTCTTCATATATATATATATATATTACCATGGCAGAGAGAGGTGAACCATAGGCGACCATGCTAAAGACAGCACTCAAGAGGCCCGCAACAGCGATTTGCATCTGTCGGTCCAACGTTAACTGAGTCACTAAGATTGCTGCTGCTGGGAACATCACATCGCATGTGATTGCAAGTATTGCAGTTCTCTTCTGCATTATTAACACACTGCAGTTATATTTTTATTAAAAGAAATGTTCACAGTAACCAAGACTAATTTGGATTCTGGTGTACGCGCACTCTATGTATGAGATAAGATCGTATCAATGTTTCAAGAGCTCTCATTCATTGATCAGTCGATTAATAAGATTGCGTTCTATCTTCGTGTTAGTCTAAATTAGAGTTGGGTCGACATGGTTTGATCAGATCTAGAGATATTCCATTTTCTTTTTCGAGAAAGAAAATAAGACATAAAATAAAAATGTTTGGAAATCACAATCAAACAACGTACTCTCATTCTGGGGGGAGCATAGATAAGGAAGATGGCGACGAAGATGATCTCGAGGACGATGCCGAAGCCATTTACGGTCGCGACGACGACACTGTTGGGCTTCACGATCCCGTAGTAAGTCCAGAAGTAGGCGTTCAGCAGCTTGAACACGTACGGGATGCTCTCGAACTCCTCAGTCGATCTCCGCTTCACGATGTGCCAAAACGTTTTCCTACAAAAGAAACAGAAGGAGGAGAGATATTTCATATCGGCGTCGATATGGACGAGCCAGTCTCGACATGAAAAAGTTGAACAGCGAATTCGAAGCTCATGAGGGTTCATCGGCTTTTGGCATACACAGGAGCGAGGTAGATGAGGCCGGTGGTGACGTTGCCGAGCAATCCAAAGATGAAGCTCAGTGTCATGCTGGTAGGTTGGACTGAATCCTTGTGGCCAAAGAAGAAAGACGGGTTGGATAGGAATCGGATCAACCAACGTTCTTGAAGGTTTTTGGTCTCGTGTTTACAGAGAGAGAGAGAGAGAGAGAGAGAGAGAGAGTGAGTGAGTGAGAGAGAGAGTGAAGCAGTAATATCTACTCAAGTAGAAATATCCATCAAATCACTCCAAGTTAACCGAAATTTGGAACTGGGAATCGGGACATGCACAGACGCCTGGGAATTCTCTGTGCGGGTGTGCTCGCGAGTGGTCTGCATCGAGTAAAAAAGAGAGCTTTAGTGGGAGACATAGAAAAGAGCTAAAGACAGAGGTGGGGCTTAGCGGATCTGTCGTCTCTGGACATTGACCTACCATTTCTTATAATTAGATTCCTGAATTTTAGCTTGTAATATTATTTCTAAATTTTTAATTTAATCAATGTGGTCTTGAAATTTTTGATACATGTTCAATTTAAAGAGAAAGTACCGAAAAAGTCATAAAACTATTACATTGATACCAACTCATTTCTAAACTTTTTAATTGGGCTAATTTAATCCTAAACATTATAATATTGGTATCAGTTAAGTTCATCCGATCAATTTTGATTGAAAATCGCTGACATAAATGTCGGTTGTCCTATGTGGTATGACCAGTGCTAATGTTGACAAATTTTACGAATTTTTAACATTTTTTGTGAATTTATTATTGTTGTTGTTATTATTTTCTTTTCAATTTTTCTTCATTGTGGCCGATGAGGATTGATGGCCACTGGGTGAGGGCCTGCGAGCCCTCGCCGAGGCCATCACCAGCCATAGGCAAGCTCACGCTCTCCAGATCTGGAGGGCCACGACCCTTGCCAGTGGCTAGCGAGGGTCGTCGGCAACCCTTACCGGCCACAATAAAAAAAAAACATAATATAAAAAGAAAAAGAAAAAGAAAAGGAAAAATTAAAAATTCGGAAAAAATATTAAAAAATTGTAAATTTTGTTCACATCAGCATCGATCGTGTCACATAAAACGATCGACGTCTATCTCAGCGATTTTCGGCCAAAATTAGCCGAATTGACTTAATTGTTACCAATGTGAAAATGCTTAAAACTAAATTGATCAAATGCGAAAAGGCTTAGGACTGAATTGATTGAGGATTTTTTTGTACTTTTCCTTTCAATTTGGTCTCTACACTATGTGAAAATGTGCGATGTTGTCTTTCCATTAATTCTAATTAATATAATCTGCCGATTTGGCTTCCGATATGATACGTTTGAATGGTGGATAAAAGAAAAGTTATATGTAGATTATCCACGTAAAATATTCAAACTCAAATTATACACATCATATGTCTATGCGGATCATCTGGGTCTTGGTCTTTGATCTCGATAGGGTCGACGAAAGATACGTGTAAGGGCCCTAATTATTCGATCTTGCCTTGCCCTAGAAACGGCTGACCAATCAAATAAAACTAATCATTCTAAAAATAGGCGGCCCATTCAATTTCATGAGTCATCCCCAAAAGAAACGACAAACAACAATTGACTCCCCAATGAATAGATTTGAGCTCGGCGGAGGTAGAGAGTTTGGTGAGCATTAGGTTTCTTTTCCACCCCATCTTTGCCTTTTACTTTTCAACCCAAAGAGAATGTTTTAGAAGGAGTAACATTGGTCAAAGTACATCGACCTCCATTAAACTACACCTTTGGCATATTTCAATTGATCAAGAACAAGTTTGTGTATCCTATTGATCAACTCTAGCATGAGGAGTTCTTGTGTGATTGGTTGGAGCCGGACATGCGATCATTCGAAACGCTAGGTCGAGTTGGTAATATTCCGTCCCTCGTGATAGAGATTTGACTGGTGGAACAATGATTAGTTAATTCATTTTCCTAAATGATATGAAAGGTCGAAGTTGGAAAAAATCATTTTCGAATCATGGTCTATGTGCCTCCAACACGTGGACCTATTTGGGTGTTGATTTTGCTTTGCTCTGAATACGGAACCATTGTGAAGTTCTAGTACATTTAGTAAGCCTTGTATCAATCCAATGCACATAGACCATGGAATCAAGTCAATCTCACAGTGAAGTCAACTTGCTCCGATAACATCCGCCTCTTCCAAGAACTCGCATGCGTTTGCTTTACATGGACATGATGCATGTCATAACCCGCGTCGGGATTTTTAATTGTATTGGTCATCGTTTCAACGTCCAATGTCGTACTCGTCCTCCTCATGAGAGTGGAGTTCATACGGACTCATGGAAAGCGTCTTCATGATCTTCTGCAAACTGTGTTGTCGATTCACTGATGGGTTGGGAAGGCTTCTTCCCTTAGCGATGGTACGGTTTTTCAGCCGATTCTCGTCCTCAACTTCGTACGAACTCATCTCTACGTCCCCTTTGACTAGATGGGCCGATCTGTCTTCCTCTGCTTCCTCTGTAGACTCTTCTGATTTCGATGCCGTGGACTTGTTCTTGTAGATTAAATACAGTATCAGCTGCGCTGATCCAAGTATGAACCCAATCCCATTCGGAACCTTGAAAAATGCCAGCGAAATTCAGAACAATGTGCGTAGCAAGGACCAGTGCTAACAATGTTAAGAGCGGTGCTAGGATGCTGGGAATTTGCCGAAACTTTCTGCTCAAATAGTGTGACAAACATAATTTGATTCATAGAACACAGAATCGATAACAAGTAGTTAAATTTGTATCCTACGTGGTCAAGTATGCTTCCTTAAACAAGCTTGGTATGAAGTTTTAATGCATATAGCATTTGTATGCCCATTAGTCCTGGCATTTCCTCACGAGCAGGCACAAAAAGTGAGAAGAGGCAGAGACTTACTCCGATGTAGAAGTCTTTGACCAGCACCGCATAAGTAGACCAAACGCCGGCATTGAGGAACAAGAAGAAGGAGAGGAAAAATGGCATATACTCGACGCTCTTGGTCTTAATAACTGTTCTCTGTTTAAACACGCCAAATCAAAGCTAAGTTAATTTAGATGTCTGAAATCGAACCCAGCAGGCATGACCAAAGCTTCGTAAGGACTAATATACGCTCTTGAATGTATATTTGACGTCTCGATTTTATTATCTTGCTAATGCAGTCTCAGAAGCACTACGAAAGATCTTACCCAACATAATACCGTTTTGTATGACTAAATAGCTAATGACGATTCGCCTCAAGGTTAAAAACAAAAATGGCAAAATCATTAGAATGATAAGAATATAGCTCACACAAGGAGTCAGAATGGTATCGTACCATCACAGCTAGAGGAGAGGCATACATGCCGACGGTCAATCCAGCACACAAAATTCCCACGACCGTGAGCCGCATATTTCCGTGGATTGCCAGAAGAGTCACTGCTATTACCGCCCCAAAAAAGCCCACGTTTATAATGGCCACCAACTTCATCAACTTAATCTGCGAATCAAATGCTTTGTCACTCTTGATGCTACTTAGGCAATACTCTTTGTATGTGCACATACATCAAGTTGCAACTCTAAGAGTCAGTTATCATCTATAAGCGCTGAACATCATCTATAGGCAGTACTCTTTGTATGTGCACAAACATCAAGTTGCAACTCTAAGATTCAGTTATCATCTATAAGCTCTGAACATCAATTGGTGATGGCCATGGAAAGCAGAACTCACACAAGCATCAAAAGTAGGAATAAACGATTGACTGACCTTTTTGTCCTTGGGAGCATAAATGAGAAACAGAGTGACATAGATGAACTGCATGACGGCTCCAGCGGCATTCACTGTCAACACGAGAAATCCACCCGGCTTGAGTATCCCATAAAAGCTCCAGAGACTCGTGCTCAGCAGAGTGGTTATGTACGGAACTCCTTTGTAATTCTCTGTGGATCTCTTCTTGACTACTCGCCAGAACGTTGAACTGCAGTTTTTCAGTCACTTTTAAGTGTAAACACCAAAAAATGACACAAATCTTAGACCCCGCAAGAGGATGCACAATCTTAGCTTATTGTCATTGTCAAGATGATGTATAGGAACTATGCCCCCTTTGGTTAGCAAGTTAACGTGTATTACTAGCTCGAAACTGCCCCTACTTATGCTTATGACTCGTATCATTTCCACATTGAAAGAAACTGCAGGGATTCATTTGTTTTGGTGCTACATGGGGTAGTTAACCAAGGTTTCGGACTCGGACTTTTCCTAGCTAATGTTTCAAGATAGTTGCTGAATCTTTAGATTCGAAAATTTCACTACTCACACCAAGGTGAATTTGTATTGATAGGTAGCAAATTGAGGTAGGTAAAGTCTTTACTACTGGCATGATTGATATGAGAGATAGAGTCAATTATATTATAGTGCAAAAACATAGGCATATTAGGACCATATTTATTTTGGTGGAATCTAAGAAAAAGTCCAGCTATTAACTGAGCTGTGACAAGCTATAAATTCATACTAGAATCAGTCTAAGCGAGACTGAATTTCAAATAATGAGTGAAAACACATTCATATCACTTGTAACCCAACAGAAGCCAGAGGTTTCCCTGCTGTTTCAGCTTCTGCACTCTCTTACTAGAAAGGACAGGAGATTGCTCAAGCTACGAGGCTACCATACTCGGGCAAATATCACGAGTTTAGGACAGTAGTTGGTTACTATCAGCGACTTTAAACAGAGTGCCTCTGCTAGAACAACTTAATCAAGTCTCTACTCTAGACCGTCCGCGCTGCATTTAGCGCTGATGCTTATTGAAAGACAACTTGAGAGAACAAGCGCGGGTTTCCACTTACATGGGAGAAGTGAAAACCAAAATCGAAATGATGTTACCTGCAACAACAGCAACACATATTTTGAAGCACTCCCAAGATATAACAATCACGAGAAAGAAATTACAGGGACCCAAAAAACCAATAGAGTGAAGAGAAAACAACATCAACATACCGAAAATGCCAACTATGAAGCTCAAGCTAGCCATGGAGAGAGAGAGAGAGAGAGAGAGAGAATTTGTTTGAAGTTTGTGGATGAAAATGAAGAGGTGGGAGAGCTTAGAGATGCATGCGAGTGGTGGATGGTACAAAGCTTTCTCTTCGTATATCAGTGAAATGCAAAACTTTTGCACCCAAAAAAGAGGAGGACAGATCAGTGAATGCCCGTCTCCACATGATTGCCACGTTTATATAGTATCCGTGGGATTTTACGCATGCTGATACTCGCGATTGCATGTGGTGGACCCAGCATCATTGTTCCTTGTCCTTACGTGCTTTTGTTCGATTCTTTGTTATCCGGTTACTAGCGGTGAGGACCTACCTTCCTCGTTGGGCTCGATTGAAATGGCCGACTTGGAAAATAATGGCAGTCCTTTTCCCATGACCTCCTATGACCATCAGTCGTTGTTTTCAGAAGATATTAGTTCGTACTCGAAGTATGTCGGCAAGGTTGTCTCTGCCAATCGGTTCGTTCATCGTCCCCTTCCGTCATTTCACCCGGATGGAAACTGAAGGCTACAGCAACCTAAATTGCTAACCCGCTCTCTCATTTCTGGCCTCTCAAGTTGAGAGTTACGCATATTTTCAGAACTCATGTCGCGTTGTAAACAGGTTTGCGTAGACAACTGATCGTCACGAATCAGCTCTGTTCTTCGAGAGAACCGAACAGGTCAGGGCTCCACACTTCAGTACTTCAATCTTACATCTTACACAATCACCGAACTGTGACCGAGAAACTAGTCAGAATTGTAGACAGGTCGACATTTCAAGCCTCGACGAGAATTCACCTCACTCAAAGTAGGTGCTAACAAAAATAGATCTCGTCATTTTGAGACAGTTTTCACAGAATCCGAGTGCGTAACGAGATACTTTAAGAAAGTTGGAAGTTGGAATACTTGGTTGTTTACTCACTGATCTCAGGGCATTCACTCTTCAAGGGTGTGGAAACAAAGCACTGGCAATGTAGCAAGACTTAAAAATATATGAAAATCGATCCCAAAACCAGAAATAGATAGAGCTGTCTTCACATTTAGTCTTTCGACTAACTTCAGCAAAACTTAGATTGCGACAGTCAAAACCAAATTGGCTTTAACAAGTAAGAAACTAAGCTCAAACCCTGAATCCCCTGCTGTTCCTCCTGCCTCTAGCCCTCTCAAACTTTCTTCCCTTCGAGCGAACATATGGCTTGGTGTGGCTGTGTGGGACACCAGGTGCAGGACCGAAGTGTTTCACAGCTTCTCTAGCATTCTTAGGACCTCTCAGAAGAACCTGCCAAAGAAACAGCTTCAAATCAGTAACACCATAGAGCTTCGCAGGAACCACAAAGGCACTTAAAATCATTACACAGCTAAAAATAATTGGTCTGAATACACGATGAAAAAGTAGAGAAGTATGGCGCACCATAAAAACAGTTTATTCAATTCCATTGTACATCAAATGTAACTTGTAGTTGTTAGCCAAGAGGGTGTGGAAGAAAAATACTCTACGAAACGCGGTTCATATCCCACATAAAACAGATCATAGACTATCAGTCATTGGAATTGGTACCGTGTTCTGTCCAAGTGGAGCACGAAGAGCAAGCTGGTCAAACGTCAAGCATTCACCACCCGCCTTCTCGATCCTTGCCCTCACTGTCTCGGTAAACCTCAAAGCAGTAACCTTCAAAGCTGGAACCTCATAGACCCTTATATCATCAGTAACTGTGCCCACCACCACGGCAATTTTGTCCTCCTGCGGATATATATTTAAAACAGCTTTACATCTTTGACCAAGATGGCATGATTAAGATGCCAGAGAACATCATTTGAATTAAACTAGAGTAGGCATCCAGCATCACAAACCTTTCCCTGCATGTAACGGATGAGCCTGGAGAGAGACAATGGAGGCTTGTTCACCTTGCTCATGAACAAGCGCTTCAAGACGACTGCATTGAACTTGCTTCCAGTCCTCCGAACAAGGAAACGATACAGCTGTTACACGGTTTTCAGAGCAAACATAAACACATTAGCATATGTATCGCTAAAGAGTGTAAATAGGTGGCTACATCTGCAGTCCCTACATTAAAAAGCGGAACAATCTTTTGCTAAGCAAAAGGAAGTTGCAACCTCTTTAACACTGGAGTCACCATACAGACAGCTAACAAAGTCAAGATCCCATCCACACACAACTCGAGTTCTCATAAAATCACACCCATCCACATCGTATATCTCTAACGCTATCTACCGACGTCTTGCCGTCGATGTGTGCTTATAGCATTTCCATCCGCCAAAACATACACCGTGATACTCGCACGAGCAAAGGAACGGGCTACGATCATGAATGGATAAGTCACAGCCAGGTAACAAAGTAAAGTTCCCATCCGCAACTCGAGTTCTCATAAAATCACAGTCATGCACGTCCTATATCTCTAACACCATCTACCGACATCTTGCCGTCAACGTGTGCTTACAGCATTTCCATCCACCAAAACATACACCGAGATACTCGCGCGAGCAACGGAACGAGTTACGATAATGGAAGTCACAGCAACACCAAAGTATACCAAGAATTGGCATGAGACTGAAGTTCAGAGTCATCACATGAGCATGGAACGGCCAGCATACAGCACACGACTCATAACAAGCCACCTAAAGAAAGGCACGCACACATTTCCCAAAAGCACGAAACTTGTCCCAAATCTCCAGGAACGACAACAGCTCCACAAAACTCGAATCACAATCGTCTAAAAATTTCAGCTCAACCCTTTACATCGCAGCATAACGAGCTTCACAGGCTAGACACCAGAATCGCCTAAAATCCAAAACAACAGCAAATCAAGCGAGGGATCCGACAGCTCATCGTTTCCTTACCTTGACGAGGAGCTTCAAGTAGATATCGTCCGACTTGGGAGCGGTCCTCTTGGTCTTCTTGCTCTTGCCTCCTGCCTTCAGATCGATCCCCTGCGATCACCACACGCCCACGCATGTCCAGAGATTGTCAAGCTTCAGATCAATGAAGAAGACGACGACGCGAAGAAGAAGAAGAAGATGTAAAAGGGGAGAGAGAGAGAGGGAGGGGGAGAGAGAGTACCATCTTCCTCTTCTGCTTCTGGCTCCGAGCTCGCCTCTGCCGCGGCTGCTGCGGTGTTCCGGGGCGAAAAGTGTAGAGGCTAAATGGAACACAGGACAGGAGAAAGGGAGCTAGGGTTTTTGCAAGGGGCTGCGAGGTTTGTCCACGGGTCAGGTCCACCTGTGCATCGTGGGTATTCAATCTCAACCGTACGCGTGGAGGGGACCGTCACTTGATCTGACGGTACGATAAAGATATAATTAAGCGCTTGGTGTTGTATAAGACCATTTATAAAAAAAAAAAACAAATCATTTCTTGACATTTTTCAAAAATATGCGCAATCCTTGGCCCCAAAAAAAAAATCATTGAGGAATTTTTAAAAATAAGTCTTAGATTGTTCTTTTTCATTAGTGTCAGTGTCCGTGTATTTGGTGGAAAATAAACGATTTGGAAAACATTTCCTTAAAATTGATTATTTATATTACTTGTAATAATTAACTAATAAAAAATATTTTTATTATCGATAATAATTTATATTTAAATTTTTTTGTGGACAATGAAAATATTTTTCATCCATACATTTTTGCAAGAGATATAAACTATTATTTTTTGGAAAATATTTTACAACAAATGAGTTTTTTCGCGAAACAAATGGACGCTAAATGATGATCACTTTTCTTAATTTGAAATTATCTAAAAAATCAAAAACTATGATCGATTGAACGTTTATTCTAGGGCCCAATATAATTTGATCTTTTTGTCCACTTCGTATATTGGTAAATAAATATGCTCGTAATAGGCCTGTGAATGGACATGTAATGAAATTTTTTCATATAACACTTCAGGTTTAACTTTAAAAGCAATTTTTGAAATGTTAAAACAATTTTTTTTCAGTTTACCTTATCCCTTATTGCTTCAATCATTAAGCAGTCAGCTAGACCGGAATACCTATTACAATTAATCTCATGTGAGGATAAAATACATGACCTAAAAACAAAAAAGTAGCGCGAATTTCTTAAGCAATTGCGTGACCTAACGTTATCGCTGGTGGTCCGACGAGGTCGCCACCCTTGCCGGCCGCCCCCTCTTTAAGAAGCACATGTACGATTCCCTTCGGTGATTACATTACTCAATATTAATTTACTTTTCTTGTGAAAACTCAGCAAAAGAAAAAAAGGGTAATTGTCACGGGAAAAAGTTGCGAACCATTTTGAGATGGATCCTAGATAGAATCCACCATCCTGCTTCAATAGTCGAATGCTACACATCAGCTCGTATCAAAGAATTCAAAGCCAAATACATAATGATTAACGAGGGATGCATCTACCCGGGAACCTATTTTTTTTATGTTATTTTGTGAAAGATCAAATTTTTATAATAATATGAAAGTTGCACCATTTTACTCCAAAAATATATGTTTGTCAAGTGGTTAAGTTGTTGTTTCTTCGCGTTGAAGACACGGTTTGATTCTCCTTGGTTGCAAATGAATTATAAAAAAAAAAACTTGAAAGCCAGTTCAACTCCGATTTCCGAGTTGTAACAACGATTCTCGGGTAGAACTGGCAGTTTCGACCTTAGAATTAGGAACCAATCCGGTCCTAGGCTGCTTTAAGGTTTGCAAAATCGGGAACCAAACATGTACTCCTCAGAACCAACCTTGAACCAGTCGGTCCAAGTCGGTTCGGTCAAATTCCCATATTGAATCAGGCTCAATACACACTAGGGGTGATCGGTTCCGGTCCGGTTGACCGGACCGATTGGTCCCAGGACCAGGAACTGAGCCTGTCACTTAGGATTTTTAGTTAACATTTTATTAATTTTTGTCATTGATTTATATCAATGAAGTTCACTTAGGGTTTAGTTCATATTACTAATTTTTGTCAATAAATCTATGTTAATGAAGTTTGCTTAGGGTTTAGTTCGCATTTTGCTAATTTTTTTATACCCCTTATACACGCCCTTACTCAAATCTAGACTTTCAAAAACCAAGAAATAATAAAAACCATAACTTTAGAGCCACCACCCTCCTCGAACTAGAGAGGAACATTAAATTACATTTGGAAAAACAAAATTCCAAATTTAAAAAGGCGAGATATCAGCGGAATTAAGCTGGAGCTGGAAACGGATGATGAAAGTGGACGTGAGATGCATGCACACCTCTTGGCGTTCTCATCGGGGTTAAGCAAATGGCCGCTAATTGATAAAAATATATTTGTCAGTGGAGGGGCCCATTTGAGACGAACTCAAATAGTCGCCATCCCGGCATCCAACATTTAGGGGGTGTTTAGTTTAATTTGGGAAGGGGTTTTGAGCCTCACAAGCACCTTCCCAAAATGTTGGGGTGTTTGGTTCAACACTTGACCTAGCATTTGATCAACGTTAGCATTCCAAATGCTGAAAGCCCAAAATTGATCCGGACCAGCCTTGGGCTTTCAACATTCCACGAATGCTATTATTCACGTCTCTTTTTTTTTTTTTTTGGTTTGAAGCTGTTTATCTTCTTCACCAGGCAGCCGGCGAGGGTGGCCGGCGAGGGAGAAGGGCTGGCGAGGTCGCCTGGGGTCGGGAGACAGCCAAGGCGACACCGTCACTGGGGTCGCTCGACCCAGGCTGTCGCCGCCTGGGTCGCGCGACCTTAGGCGGCCGTCGCCTGGGTTGTGCGACCCCCGCCGAGGGTCGCCTGGCCTCGGGCGACCGCCGGCGGCGGCAGATCTGGCTCGCCGGGGGTCGCCCGACCTCGGGCGACGGCCGCCGGCGCCAGATCTATCTCGCCGGCGGCCGTAGGCCATCGCCAGCGGCCGGTTCCGGCGATGGGTAGGTTAGTTTTTTTTTTTAATAAATAAGAAAATTCTCAAAGTCCATTTGCAAAAAAAATTCACCAAACACTATATTTTGGCCAAAGTAGTTTTACAAAATATTTTTACCAAACACTATTTGCATTTCCCCAATGGGCTTTCACCCAAAGGTATTTGCATTCCCCTAAGTAGCATTTTCAAAGTTGAACCAAACAAGCCCTTATTCTAGAAGAGCGGAAACTCGGATGGGATCCCCTGCATCCAAGTTTAGCATCACCCCCACATCACATCCGCCCATCGGAACTCGCTGTGATGCAGGGGTGACGCTCAACTCGGATGCAGGGGATCCCCTCCCGCAGGTCTTGTGCGATGCAGATGGTCTACAAAATGCGGTCGCCAAGAACTAGGGGTGAGCAACTTGGACCGCCCAAACCGGGACCGGACCGGACCGGACCGGACCGACGAGTTTGGTCCGGTTCTCGGGACTATCGGTCCGGTTCCCGGTTCCTAAAAGCGGAACCGGTTTCCGGGCGAACCGGTTCCCGGTTCCAAGGGGGAACCGGACCGGACCGGAACGACTATTTAATATATATTTTTGTTATTTTTTTCTTTAAAAAAATAATAAAATGTGAACTAAACTCTAAGTGAACTTCATTATCATAAATTCATTGATAAAAAATAGTAAAATGTGAATTAAACCCTAAGTGAACTTCATTGACATAAATTTATTGACAAAAATTAGTAAAATGTGAACTAAACCTTAAGTGTTTGACACAAAAAAAAAATCCTAAACTCTAAGTAATCGGTTCCATTGGACCGGACCGGAATCGGACCGGACCGATGGTCCGGTCCGGTTCCCGGTCCTAGAACCAACCGGTTTGGTCCGCGGTTCCCAAAATTGGGAACCGGTTCTCTCGGTCTGGTTCCCGATTCCACCTTGGAATCGGACCGGACCGGGAACCGCTCACCCCTACCAAGAACCCAGGCTCGCATCAAGTTTTGCTTGGGACGAGGAAGGAACGGATTAATCAAACAAGGCTCTGAGTTTCATGGGAGACAACAATTTAGCCGGTGATATGAGGTAAGAATCGACCCTCAAACTGCAACATCACTTCACTTCTGTAGTCCAGTCTTTACGTGAATGCTGTTTTATTTGGAAACAATCTGTACGATGCACTCGTCATTTCTCATGTGCATTGGGAACCCATACTACAAGTACAAATCGTCCAGATTTTTTTTTTTTTTGGTTTCATTAAACAATTCATGAGTTTTTTTTTTATTCTTTTTGGGTGAAAAATGGATGTTTGACAAGTAGTTTACTGATATTAATCCTAGAAGTGGAGCAGAGCTTGTAGCTCAAATTGCTGTAGAATGTAATGAATATCTTGATACAATGTAATGAATATCTTGATACGCTGGACGATGCCTTGCGTCAATTCATCAGGGATAGCTTTATGGGTCAAGCCAACATAACTAGTGAACGCAGAATTATGCGTATCTGCGCAGCGAGCAAGAAAGTCAGGCAAAAATTAGTCTTTAAGATGGAAAGGCAAGATATAGGTCCGAGGTTCCAACTTCCGTGTGCTCTTATCTTTGTTGCTCTTAGATGCATCTCTTGCAGTCTCCAAATGTGCGTTCTGCTTGGTGATATGCCTTGGCCCGTTTCCGTTGCGTGCATCCTGATTTTGGTGATCCCATTCGAATTCATTGCGAATCAAAGGATTAATTAACGGCTTTCGATGTGGCTGAGGTTCTGGTGTTTGCTGGGGTCTGGTCCAACTGGTGACGTGTATTTTCTTTGAATTTGGGTCTGCTTGTGTAACCTTCCGGTGGTGAGGTCTGGTCCTCTTGGTGTTTCCTCTCCTAGGTTCTGATCCTCCTGGTGATGTGTATTTTCTATGAATTCTGTTCTGCTTGTGTAACCTGCCCATGGTGAAGGTATGGTCCTCCTGTTTGCTGGAGTCTGGTTCTTGTATTTTCACCTTGAATACTTTTTATGACGACGATGATCGTTAAAATATCAGCATCCCTTATTTACAGGATTTATTCGTTCTTTATATATAGATATATATATCCCTCCGCCCAACAGTAATTACAATGTTTAAAATTAGTAAATGATGAAAACCATATGTGTCTGATTAAACATGTATACAATCCCACAGCAAAATTTCCTAATAATTTGAACAATTCATCCGTGCCCAAAGATTTCGGAAAACCAACACCATTGAATGCAATAATAAGCTATTGAGTAATTACACCACAAAACACAAAAGTCCACCATCATTTTTCTTTTTTTAGAAAAAAAAGCCTAAACAATATGTAAATATTGTTGAGGGTGAGCAAAGCGACAAGATGGGAAAG